GAATGCAAAGTACACATGAAGCTGCTGAGGGCGACAGTAGTATACCAGTGACCAGTGATCATTCACCCAACATGCATTTTTTTTCTCAACTTGGTCTCAGGCTCTGTCTTGAAAATGTTTACTGAAGAATTCTCCACAATTTTTGTACATTTTGCCCTCATCTCTATATTCAGCAGCATCAAAAACCTTTCTTATATCCTCTTCCACCAAGCTAAAGACATTTTTAAAAGCCAGGTCTGTTATTTACTATAGTATGTCTTTAAATTTTTGAAATTAGATGTGTTTTGTACTAAGGGGTGTGTGTGTGTGTGTGTGTGTGTGTGTGTGTGTGTGTGTGTGCGCGCGCACGTGCGCACACAAGCACACACACTCTGCTTAGAGACCTGTATTGATTTGAGTGGTCTCTTCCAGCCCTATTTTCCCATGAGATCTTTTATTTTTAGTCCACAATTTGCAGAACACCTCAATCCTCCCTTTTACAAGAAGAAACACGTGCATCACATTATAACAGGAATGCTTGAATCTATAAGTAAACTTCAAGTACGCTATATTTACTCCAAATATTTATGTTCTAATCTCTGGTCTTATTTGGTTGAACCCAGTGTCCTTACTTGAAAAATGAGAGAGTTAGACCAGAAAAGTCCTTCCTTTCCAGTTTTTGAGCTCTCTCGTCATGCAAAATTATTCCCATAATTAAAACGATAATTATATATCTTCAGAACTGGATTAATACATTAGACTGAAAATGCAAATACACCTACCAGCCCACCAAAATTCTCATGAAATGACAGGAAAAAATATTAATAAAAAACCTTCTGGTAAAACAAGAAAGAGTGACAGCACACAAAGGAAAAAACGACTGCAAACGGATTGTAGAGATCCCAGGTAAATGTCAAAAGATATTTAAAATAGAAGGGACTTGGGACATCTGTTTGACAGCTTTGTAAAAAAATAGACAATTTCCTAAGGAATCATGAATTTCAAAATTAGCTCAAGAAGTATATATATGAAATACAACAAAGAGCAGTGGGGAGCAGAAAATGAAGTTTTAGGCAAATTGCACCAAACTTTGAGGGAATGGATAATTCTCAATTATATGAACTGTTCCAGGACTGAGAAAAAGGTGTATGCAGTTTACAAGGCTAGTTTAATTGTAATGCCTAAAACAAAGATTAAACACAAAACATTAAGATTATAGGCCAATCTAAATTTTTCTATGTAGAAAAAAGAAACTTTAAAAATTGCAAATTAAATCTACCAGTGGATGCATCTACCCAAGAATGTAAAGATAATTATACTTATACATTGGAAAAATCTACTGATACAATTAATATATTAACATATTCAAGGAAAAAATGATCTTCTCAATATGATGTATCCAGTAGATGCAGAAAACTCATTAAGTAAAATCTGAAGCTTATTCATAATTTAAAAAAATCATTAACAAAACAGACAATAAAAGTATGTACCAGGGACACAGTAAATATCGTATTTGTTCATCATTCTATGCATTCTCTATAAAGCCAAGAAAAAGAGACGGATGTCTATTTTCATTACTACTATTCAACAGTGTGCCAAGCATCCTAGACATCACATTAGGATAAGAAAGTTAAAGGAAGCAAAAATATTGGAAAGAAATAGATAAAGTTGTCCAGAAACAGATATTTATGAAAATTGTTCATGTGATAAATATAGTAAGTCAGAGATGAAAAGATGTCCTCATTAATTAGGGATGTTCGGGCAAATTGTTATTATGTTGAAAAAATGTCTAAAATTGGAGCTGTATATCCCTCTTTACTCAACAAATGCATTCCAGATAGATCATTAAAAACTACTACTGCTGAATTAAGTGTGGAAGAAACAACTTCAAGAGATTAGAATAATCATAGGAATCTAAACCAATTCTCCATTCAGGTTGTTCCTCAACTTCAAGTATATGTTCCTCATTAAAGAAGCTGGAGCTGGAAATTAAAGATAATTACTTATAGGTTTGGTTTATGACAGAAAGACACAAAACTGTAATCAACAGACCCTTCATCCTATATCAACAGCTTTCTTTATTCTAGCAACAAAACTTTGCTTATTGACAGGCTATTTAACTATTTTTAGTTTAAAAGTAAAGTATATTAAGATATGTCTTTTTTATAATTCTCATATCTAATAACTTTTTGGATCAACTGATCTACTACTTTTCTCGATTTCATCAGGTAAATTATAAAAGAATCTGGAAAAAATTTGAAATGATTCCTACTTGGGCAATTGTAGCATAATGAAAGAGAACCGAATTAAAGTCATATTAAGCTCTAAGATTTATTTGAGAGTGTGATATAAATAATGATTGAGGTTGCAACGGAAAAGATTTAAGATATGTTTTACTAGAAAAAAATTAGGTAACCAGTAGAAGATTAAAATTAATTATGTCTCCTAAGCCTGTAAAGATAGAGAAAAAAGAGACTCAGGACTCAAATAATACCAAAAAATGAAGGAAAAAAATTTAAAAACAAATATGGTTAATACAAACCTATAATAACATATCAGATGGTATTGCTATGAATGGAGTACTTTAAATTTTCTGATTAGGAAGCAAAGTCTCAGAAAATAAGTTAAAAGAAGTTTATCTAAGGTTAGAGACACAGCTAAAATAAAATTGATCTCATTTTTAACATAAATGTATGTGGTTGGCCATTTATGTCAGCCTATAAAAAAATGCAATAAACTCTTGGTAACTGTTATTTTGGAAAAAGGGAAATAATTTTTAAACCTTTTTTTTGCACAATTTAGTACAATTCAAATGTTTTCTCTTAGACTATATTCCTATAATGTAACTTAAAAGAAAAAAAGAAAATTTATAGAGGAAATATTCCTTCCAAAGTCTGTTAATTACCCAAAATCTGATAATTACCCAGACCCTACCCCTGCCATACACCCACAAATACAGAGTGAGGCAAAGATAAGAGAAGAACTAGGACCTACTTTTAGAAGGGAGTTGAATTGACAGATTTAGCAAATAAAAATATAGAATGTTCAGTTAAATTTGAATTTCAAAAACTCCAATTTTTCTTAGTATAAGTATGGATCAAATATTATACAAAATGTATTTATACTAAAAATTTTTATTCATTGTTATCTGAAATTCATATCTATTGGACATCTATTTTATCTGGTAAGCCTACTAAGAGACATACATACAGGTGGGTAAAATAAGGTAGTTCAGGAAAGCAGTAGCCATATCTGAGGCTGAATTCACTGTACTGGGGTCCAGAGTCCAGACTTCAACACATTGAAGAAAAGGAAGCTTTGAGAGCAAGGTGGGTCACTGCTCTTCAAGTGGTTCCCAGAATAGGAAGAGGAAAACAGAATTCTAAGTGTGGAAAGAACAATTAGGGTTGGGGGAAATGAAACGAGAGGAACCTGAGTATACGTGACAGAATATAAGAATGGCCCTTGGAGGAAGGCAGGAATCAATGATTCCAGAAACTCAGGGAATACACTGGCCATGTCTTATGTCTGGACTCACAGTAGAAATAACTCAAGGAACAATATAAGAGCCCTATGATAGCAATGGAACAGGAATCTAGTTTAGACTAATGGGAGGAATGGGAATAGAAGGGGGAACACATGCTGTGAACACTAACACTCACCAAAATGGATAGGTGTTGGATTTTCTTAAAAAATAGCAGTTGTCAAAATAACATTTACAGAGAATATAGTAGATATCAACAGAGTAATGCTCTATCTGTCGGACATTGTTAGAAATAGGTGGTCCCAAACTTCTAATGGGTTTTCCAGATAAATGAATACATCACCTGAAGGGCCCCAAATTTTTAATGAGGGTTTTTTTTCTCCTGAAATCTTTCATGTATTTAACATAATTCTACATTATGTTATGTGCTACATTAACATAATTCATCCTTTTTAATGATTAAGTCACTATAAATATCAAAATTTAAATCTATAAAGGAGATCATATAATAAAAGCCTTTCATTTAAAAGAAGTGGAATCAGATTGTATTCCAAACACTGTGGTGAATCAGTAATTCATTCTGCTCATCATTTAATTTGTGATTAGGAAATATTTACAGAGAGAGGAAGGAAGGGAGGGAGGGAGGGAGGGAGGGAGAGGGAAAATATAATTACACCATTAGAAATTTCTGAAATGTGTAAGGATATTTTTTGTTTAATCTGCTTGTCAAACCTTTGACGTAGACATTAATATCCCAACTCTAAAAAGGAAAATACTGAGTTTCAGACAGTTTAATTGGCCTAAGGTCACAAAGCTAGTAAATCTGTCTCTAAAGCCAATGAGATTTCTACCACACGGCTCTGCTTCCTTGATACAGTGGTCCCCACAAACACTTTGTGACATCACTTAGACCTCCCAGAAGCATGTTGTCCTCAGCTTTGCGATGGCTGGGTGAAAATAACTTCGAATATGTTAAGTATTCTTTATTATGTCTATTCTAAATGTGTCTAGTCATCTTCTAACGTAATGCATTTGAAAATACGTGTAATATCTTGTCATTTAAAACAATATGAGGAAGGATCTCCCTGGTGGTCCAGTGGGTAGGACTCTGAGCTCCCAATGCGGGGTCCCGGGGTTTGATCCCTGGTCGGGAAACTAGATCCCGCATGCATGCCACAACTAAGAGTCCACATGCTGCAACTAAGAAGTCACATGCTGCCACTAAAGATCCCACATGCCGCAGTTAAGACCTGGTGCAGCCAAAATACATAAATAATAAATAAATAAATAAAATATTTTTAAAAATATGAGGAGATATATACGTATATATACATACTAGATGATAGATAGATAGGTAGATAGATAGATAGATAGTAGATAGATAGGTAGATAGATAGATATAAATAAAACTAGGGATAGATATAAAACTTTTAACCAGACTAAGTTTCAAAAATAAAAGCAAATGAAGTCAGGGAGGAGAACATATACTTGGGGAAATTATAGGAGGAAGTAACTGTATTTTTTTTTTCTCTTTCAGCGATCACTATTTGGGAAGCCACAGAGTATTTCAGAAAAATAAATCTGTTATTCAACTTAATCTACAGAAAAATAGGGAATCTCCAGGAAAGTTATCTCGAAAGGTAAGTCTTTCTTAGCTTTGGTTTCAATTAGCAAATGTATTACTTTAAGGACAATATTCCCATCCTTACGGATTGTTGCCATTTTGTGATTAAAATATGTTTAATGAATACATATTTATTTGAGTATATTTACTGAAACATAATATTTATCTTTATGTCTGTTAACAATTTGGACTGAAGCAATTACATGAACACACTACTGCAACCTCAGTATGATAAATCTACTAGTCTCTTGAAAAATCATTTATGAGTAACTTATTAATGTTATCTTATTCATACTATCCATGAATCCACCAGGAAATGAATGGAATAGAAAAAGTAAAGGGGAAACCATGGAAGGAAGAAAAACAACACAACTCTTGTTCTATCTGAAGACTACGGTGGTGTCAACACAGTTTAAATCAGGACAGATTAATATTCATAATATATATAATAAAACTACTTAGAAAGGGATTACTGTGCTTTAATGACAGTTTCATGGTGTTAGATATAAATTTTATTCCCTGTGTGGTGTCTTGAGTTACTTCAAACCCAAATTGCACAGTATGCAGTAAACTTTGATATTTTAGCAGTTTTTATCTGTAGAATCTTCCAATTACCTGCTTTAGGCAAAAATCCCATCACCCTGTCATTTACATCAGATAACAGACTTCCAGTGCATGACTTTTTTTCCTAGTCTGAGGTGCTTCATCATAAAAAGTGTCAGGTGGTGCATTAGGTTGCAATATATCTATGTGGAACATAACATAATGAGGCCAAAAGAGAGTTGTTTAGAAATGTCTTTTGGAATTGGTACCCAGCTCAGCCAGTGTTGACAGCTCCAGGGCCATGCATCTGAACTCTCCACAAAGAAACATTATAAAGTACAACTAATACCCTCAGCATTAATAAATCTAAGAGTCTTCAAATTGTCCTCAGTGTTGATGAAAAAGCTGAAATTATCATGTTTCATTTCAATGGGGGGTGGGAGAGAAAATGTATAAATCAAATTTCTACTCGTTTAGAAGTTGTATATTGTTAAAGAAAAAAGAAACTATCACATTGGTAGTAATTCACAAATCACACATATTTCAGTTTCATGTAAATTAAGGTTTATTCTGAAATGCATATAACTCCACTACTTTGATGTAATATGTATCCAGCATATATTTTACATCTGAAACTTAAATATTTCTATCATATTTACTCTTTACAACAATTCCACATGTCAAATATTATTAAAAATAAGGACACTAGGGCTTCCCTGGTGGCGCAGTGGTTGAGAGTCCGCCTGCCGATGCAGGGGATGCGGGTTCGTGCCCCAGTCCGGGAAGATCCCACATGCCACGGAGCATGTGGGCCGGGCTGGGCCCGTGAGCCAAGGCCGCTGAGCCTGCCCGTCCGGAGCCCGTGCTCCGCAACGGGAGAGGCCACAACAGTGAGAGGCCCGCGTACACCAAAAAAATAAATAAATAAGGACACTAAATCCCAGCGTGCTCATGACTTTCCTCAGGTCACATTCATGGAGCTGGTAAGTAGAGGACCTTGGATTTGAGCCCAGTCAGTGAGTCTTCACATACCTTATGCTACCAATTTATATTACAAAAACACTTAGAACTTATGGGCTACACTCAAAAGTTTTAGATGTGGTTTCAGAGCAATTAGTCAAAATTCTACCTTTATGTTTTTTTGGTGTTGTTTTGTTTTCCACAGCTTTATCCACATACCCCAAAGTCTGGGCCATGATAGGTATTCAATGATAATTAACCACATTAAGTATATATTAGGTGCCAGGCACTGTTATTAGGGCTTTACATGTATTAATTCATAACAGCCCTAAAGCAAAAACAATAGGATGTTAGACTATATGATATTTTAGTCTTTTACTATTAAAAACTGTAAAACTTTATTAATGTTAGTTAAGACACTTAAAATTTCAAAAATTTACTCATGATATTGAAAATATTGAGGAGCATAGACATTGGTGTGTTATGTCAAAATGATGTATATGTTGCAATCTGATGCATCACACTTTTTGTTGTAAACTTTTAATACCCATTGAGTAGATTAGATTATAATTTCAATTGAAAACCTTGTATTTGAAGAAAATTTAAAAAAAATAATAATTGCCTTGTTTTATAAAATATTCTTTCAGGAACAGACATAGTATGCTGATTAATTTAATATAACTGAGAAAGTTTATCAATTTGTGACCCTTCTTCATGGTCTGAATTGCTATATTTAAAATAAATGACCAATGATTTTTTTTCTTTTATATATCTATGGTAAGGGAATGGTGAATGGTCTTCTCTCTTATTATTTAAAATAATGTCAAAATTATCTATGATTTTCATAATTTCAGCTGTAAGCTAAACATTTATGAATAACTAAATTTTCTTTCTAGTAAAACAACATAAAATTGGCTTGATAATATTCTTTTTATATAATATTAGGAATATAATGATAGCTATCATTCTATTAAATTTATTGACACCATCAACTTTCAGTAGATATTTCAGAGTATTCTAATTGTAAAAGGCACTGCAAAGCTCAATTCATCTTAGATGGCTTTTCTATTTTAAACTCACTTCTATTATACTGATATATAGTGATTTAATTCATGTTCCATGAGATTATTCATAAAACACATTGACAGTCTTTAGAAATCATCCTATATTTCAAAATTTTTAAATTCCTGTCTTGATTAGAAGTGATGTGAATGGCTGACACTTTTTAAAAATTTTTTCTTCCTTTCAAGTTTGATCAAAAGTATTGCCAACATTGTAGACATTAATCATAAAATTAAGATTTCTTTCTAGTTCAAGAAAACATTCACAAAACATTTACAGCAATAGATTTCTGTATGAAAAAAAGGAAAAAAATACCTTTATGTTTTTATTAAGACAAAGGTATGGCCCTCACTTTTGGAGAAAAATAAATTGCACAATATATTCCATGGACAACTGCTCAAACTTTCCTCCAACTCTGAGATCCTTTAGATAAAATTTTTTTCTTGTTAAGTCACTGTATGACAATGGACAATTCCCCCTCCCCCAAAAGTATCTCTGGAAGCCAAGTAAAGTGGTTTTTAAATGAATATGATTATGCTATTCAGAAAGATTCAAATAAGTCATATTATTTATATGCTGCTTTGGTTTTAACTTCTGAAATAAGGCAAATGCCAAATTCTACACTTCAAATCTTACTACCTCTATTCTGGCTCTGGTTTTCACTCTCTATTTTCCCTTCCCTTTCACTGTCCTCTCCATGCCTAAAGTTTTGCTTTCTCTACTGCAGAAAAATTTGTCTTAACCACTATGATACTTTCAGATTTCATCAGCCATTGACTCTAGAGGTAAATTCCTACTGAGTAAGCCTCATGTTTTCAAGCTCCTTAGCATTTATACAAAGCATTCTTTTTTCATAGCATGCACTCAAGGTATTATAACAATAACCTTATTCTTTCCATGTTACTTAGTTTCCTTCTTCTTTCTCACAATACAACCCAATATAAAAATTAATTTACCTTTGACCTTAAGCCATGTAAAGGTTTTCCTTCTGATGTTTTCTGTCAGAAATTCTAATAGGCAGCTTTAAAAATACATTGTGTGTGTACTGACATACAGGATTACATGCACCCCAGGCATGGAGGGACTCATTCAGCTGTCAAACTTAACGTCACTGTGTGGTGAAAAAGTGCAATTATGATGGAGTATATTTGCATTTTCTGCAGACTTGCATAGGGTTTTCATGGATGCCCATTCCAGAAGAGCTAATCAAGGAGTTATGACGTGTGTTTGTGTGTGTGTATGTGTGTGTGCATGCATACATGTGGACCAGAGGACTCATATTTTAAGATGAGTAGTTCCTGCTCATCTTGGGAGAAAAATACAGTGCCATCTGATAACTCCTGGAACTTACACCTATCAGTAGTTGTCTTTCATCAGCATAATTGAATGTTCATGAGATGGAAGGTTCTCTTATGCTGACGTTTTGGTGGCAAGGTATGGAAAATCTGAAAAAAGGAGGAGTCCATTCTGTGTCTGCCGGCCAATCTGGCAAGCTGTCAAGTCTTATACTGCCACGGATTTGTGGCCTAAATGTAAAGAAAATGTGCACGTATGTGGGAGAACTGGTGTCTGAAAAACTGCCTTCCTGCTGGGAGAAATTAATGTTTGACCTTGGTGATGGCAGGATGTTTTTCAACTATCCTTGGGGTTTATCCTCAACCAAAGCTCAGCTTTCTGTTTTACTTTTGAAAAGAATGCTTATACAGTTGAGGAGAGTCTTATAAGGTCTTTAAAACAAAGTATTAAAATGATAAATGAGAGTTATCAAAAGAGGTGAATAAAATGACAGCAGGAAGTTATGGACCTATTTTTATCTGGTATTCGTTCCTATTCGCTCTATAAATATTAATATATTCTGCTGTCTACAGCATGAAGATGACCACAGTCAGTTTTATCTGAACCAACTTCTAGAAGTTATGCCTATTTGGAAAGTATCCAGGTAAGACATTTTATTCCTGTTCCAAGACTACTTTCTGACTGAGTTCTCAAGTGCCAAATCACAATATTTTTCAGTTGATTGTAATAACTGTCCTTTCACTAGTACTGTGGAAGCTATTGTACTTTTAATAGATATCTCCCTTTGGCAAATTCTGTTAATAATTATCTATTCTTCACAGCTATTCAGATACATCTGAAGAGCTGCTAACACCTTCCAGAACAATCTAACATTCATTTAAAAATATCTCTGCTACCGGTTATTACATTTTCAAGGATTTTTTTCCTCATTCATTTTGTAAATTTGATTGTGCATGTGTCACTAAGCTCTTTGTGTAACTGAATTCCCATAGTTTGAAAGTCACCATATCCTGCTTTAAATTCCTTTCTGGAACACCCTGAAAATAATTGGTACATTATAAACAGAGGAGTGTGACTTCAAATTGGAAAACTCAAGTGACAGCAAATGAACATATCCTAATTGAGTCTGATATCTCAACATATGCATGTATTATTTGAAAGAACAAACCTATCAGGAAGCTAACCTGGGAGAAGATATCAGTGCTACAGGCTGCCTTTATCTGGAATTAAAGTTGTTCTGAGTTGAATGAGCAAAAAAGGGAGTGTGGGAGGTATGTCATAAATCTCTAAAGCACAGCCTGATATAAGAATGGGTTTAAATTGGTTTTAGTGACTATTAATAATAGCTATCACTTCCTGGAGTTCTAATACATTTTGTATATATTGTCTCATGTAATTCTCCCCACAACCCCATAACAATACATATTATCTTACTTCAGAATCAAGGAAACTGAAGTTCTGGAAGGGTAAATAACTTGCCTGGGGTCGGCTGCTCAGTTTGTTAGGATTCAAATCAGGGCTGTCTGCAATTTGCAAAGGCCACATTCTTTCATTAAACTATCATATCTTTCCATTTTTTTTTTCCCTTTTTTGTGTCTTTCTCCCCCCCTCCCCCCCAGTATTCGGCCTCGTACCATAAAATCATAGAATGGGTAAAACTTAAGAGGACTTTTGATATAATTTAATCCAAATTTTTACTGTATTGCTAATTACATGCATCAGAGAGGTCCCCATCAAAATGGCATATTAAACAAAGGCTGTATTCCAAAATAAATTTATAAATCAACAACTACCACAACAACAAATGCAGAGAGAGGCATCAAACCTGACAAATTCTTTAAAAATTGGGGAATCCCTGGGAATCAGAGACCTGTTTTGAACTGTTCTGTGGAGGGCCGTGACTTGTAGGTGGCTGCTACCTAGTGTACAGAGAGACAAAGGAGGCTGTGAGTCCCATAGGATTTATTCGCTCACTTTTCTTTTTTTACTGTATTTTTTTATTGAAGTATAGTTGACAGACATTTCTTCATTCCTTTTCTTCTTTTTGTTGTTCCTCCAACTGGGTAATTTCAAGAAATCTGTCTTTGAGTTTACTGAGTCTTCTGCTTGGTCTAGTCTATCAAATTCTTCAGCTCAGTCATTGTATTCTTTAGCGCAAAGATTTCTGTTTGGTTCTTTCTTATGTTTTCTACCTCTTTGTTGAATTTCTCATTCTGTTCTTGTATTGTTATGCTAAGTGCATTAAATTCTTTTTCTGTGTTCTCTTGTGGTCCTCTGAGCATCTTTAGGACAATCATTTTGAATTGTTTGTCAGACAATTCTTGTATCTCCATTTCTTTGGGGTCAGTTGCTGGAAGTTTACTGTATTCTTTTGGTGGTGTCATATTTCCCTGATTCATTGTGATCTTGTAGCCTTGCAAAGCTGTCTGTATACAGGAAGAAGCAGTCACCTCTTCCAGACTTTATGGGCTGGCTTCAGTACGGAAAGACCTTCACCTACAGGCGAGGGCCAACTGGAACGTGCTGTGACCCTGGGCCGAGTGGTGACGGGCACCAAGTGCAGGGTTGTGAGACAACGCCGGGTCGGGGGTGGGGGGGTCACGATGTCTCCTCAGCTCAGGTCACTGGGGTCCACAGCATCGACAACCGTGTGGTCCTCAGTAAGCACTGTGAGGGAGATCTGCAGTAGCTGCGAGGGCTGTTGCGATCCTCAGTGGTGCCTCCAGGTCCAGCAGCTAGAGACCAGGGCAGGCAGCAGTTGCTGCTGGAGCTGGTGGTGTACATACTCACAGCTCTGGGGGCCAGCTGCAGGCGCCTGTGGAGTGGCAGGGGCTGGCTGCAGACACTCATATAGTTGGGGGGTGGGGGGCAGTGCCAGTCTCAAGGGTTAGGACTAACTGTGGGTGCACTGGCAGCTGCAGGGATCCTGGCTGTTGGAGTGCACTTCTGTGGCTGCAGTCTCTCTCCATGGGCACGTGCATGGCAGTAAAAGCCAGTGACGAGAGTCAGGACAAGGGTGTGCAGGTGCACAGCTTGGGGGCTAGCTGCAGATGAGCCCAGTGGTGCAGACCAGTGACAGGAGAAAGGGCCAAATCTGCCCCAGACACAGCTGTGGGGATCTTGGCTGTCAGTGTGCACTCTCATAGGTGCCAGATCTCACCACAGATGTGCACATGGCAGTGGACGTCAGTGACAGAGGCCAGGCTAGTGGCATGCAGGTGCACAGCTGGAGGGGCTGTTGGAAGGGGTCAGTCATGGGGAATAGGCTTGCACCTTGCACTTGAGCAGCCACTGAGGCCTGGGCTAGCTGCAAGTGCGGATCTCAGGGTCTGGCAGGGGCAGTGCAGTGGAGGAAAACAAAACCAATGAAATCTACAGGGGGTCTGTGGCAGCTGTGCTGGCTATTGGTTTCTTCAGTAGGGAAAGTTACTGAGGCTTTCTGCAGAGCAGCCGGCTGGGATCCATGGTAACTCCCACTGCATGGCTGATGCCGGTAGCCACTGCCCTTCTTCCTTGTTCTAGCCACCTTTATCCATCTCAGCTTTGCTGGTCTCTGGGTGAGATGAAAGCAATGCAGGTCCTTCATGCAGTGTCCCACAAGGCTGGGGAAGCTGCTCGCTCACCCCACTCCTCTTTTCCAAGAGAGGGGACCTCGTTCTAGCAGGGGATTTCCCTCCTGGCACTGAGCAGTGTTGGCCTGGAGGATGGGTTGATGCAGGCAAAATGAAGCTATTCTCTCTTCCCTCTTTATGGAATTATTCTCAGGGCTTTTTTTTCCCCCACTGTGTTGTTGAAGTTTCTTGGGTGGTTTCCTGAGCTCTCCCCAGGGCTGTTTTTGTCCGTGGATAGCTATCCGTTGATCTTTGTGAGGAGAGAGAGGCTGGGATCTCTTATTGCGCCATCTTGGTGACCCCCAGGACTTTGCTTTCTGAAATACAATACGCTACTCTGCCTGCCTTCCTCAGACCACTTTATGATGTGATGAGACCAAGCACTAGAGTGCACAAGCTTAAGTACAAAGCACAAGCTTTGATTTCAGTGTCCCTCTTCTCTGACTTGACTTCCTCTTAGAAGTTGGGCAAATCACATACCTTCATTGGTTCCTAGGAGTTTTCTATAAAATAGATATAATACCTAATAGAAAGGTGCTGAAGCAGGTGAATTCTTGAGGGTTTTTTCTTTTTAAATTTTAGGATGAGGTTTTATATTAAACTCCTCCAATAGCCAAAATCTTTCACAGTTCCTTTCCAACTCCTCCATGGACTTTTACATATTCTATGCATTTTGTCTAACTAAAGTGGTAACTTAATAAAGACTGAGAAGGCAGCTACTGTAAAATATATTGGTGTGTTTTTAACACTGTGCTTTGTGTTGTATGACTGATTATTCAATTCAATTCAGGAGTTTTCAGGACAAACAGGAAGGGAAAGTTAATAACATTTGGGAAAATAATTTTAAACAGTGAAGCCAAAAGAATCTCTGCTCAACTCACGTCTATTCCACCTAAGTATAGATAAAGCTGAAGCATTAAGAGAAGCTTAGAGACAAAAGCAAAAATACCAGAAAACCCAGAGGTTTGGTGTCAAAGACAACACCATCTATGATCAGTATATGTCATTAATTCTAAAAGCAATTCTCTGAAAACTTTTGCATATTTCTCAATTTATTTGTCATTATCTGCTTATGAATCCCTTTGCAACTTATATTTTAAATTAAGAGTAGTTTGATATAATGAACAGTCTTTCAGAGGTTTGGTTAAGTTGTCATGGATTTCTCTGGAGTTCTAAAGTTTTCAAATACGTTTGTAGTCTATCAAGTTATACCAAGTTTATAAGGTACCCATCTGAAATGACATTTAAAAGTATGTCAACAGTAATCCTTTTTAAACCATGTTTGCTATAGAAACATGGACAAAGCAGAACTTGTGATAAATGTGCTACAGTTAATATAAGTTTTCCTACCCAACTTTAAACAAAGTTCTTTTTTTCTTTCCAGACAATGTCTCTCAACAGTAATCAAAAAATATGACTCCCACCTGAAATACCTATTGAAAACCCAGGTATTAACTTTTGTTACTTCTTTAATTAATTCAATAATATTTTATTAATTTTCTACTCTTTTTTCTAAAGCTTTGCAAGTTTCTGGAGATACAAAAATGAATAAAGCAGGGGGTCTACACTTGAGTGACTTTCATTCTATCATGGCAAAACAGACAAGTAAACAAATGTGTGTAATAAAGTGTCATAGGTACTATGAAAGACCTATGTGTATACAGGACACACAAAATAGGGTTATCAATTTTCCTTCTTTGATCTGAGTGTTGAAAAATAACTAAGCCAGCCAGAGAAAGAGCGTGGTAAGGAAAGTGGGAAGTAGGGATAACTTTAAGCATACAACAACATGAACAGAGCAGGTAGCAAACAGCCTGGTGTGATTAGGAAACTGTATGTACTTTGGAATGGCTAAAATTAGGGCTCAAGGTGATAGCCTGGAAAAAGACCAGATGAAAGGGACAAGCAGGAACCAAGTTACTAGGGTCTTAAGGACATTTTATGGACAATTTAATGATTTTCTAATTTATCAGCTGATGACATAGAGCCATTATGCAGGGCAGTAGAATGACAGATGGGTGACTGTAGGACATTTCATTAACCCAAAGAAATGAGGAGGGCATGAACAAAAGCTCTACTATAGGGTAGGACAGGGGACAGATTCATAACAGGTGAAAATCTGTAATTTACATGATTTGGTGAAAAACTGTGAACAATGAAAGAACACAGTGTTTAGAATACCTCCAGATTCCTGGCTGCTGACTGACTGCATGGAGATGTCAATTAACTAAAACAGTGAAGATAGGAGAAGCTAGCTTGGCAGGGAACATAATGGATTCAGTCCAAGACTACTGAGATTTGGCCACCTATTGGGCATCCAAGTTGTAGTCACCATTAAGCAGATCATTTCTTATAGCTTGTTCTTCCAGGGAAGGATCAGTCTTCCACAGATAAAACATTGCATGATTACAGAAAATGAGATAAGAGAATGTGTTGAAAACAAGACTCCTTTTTCCATTAAAAAAAATAATTCTTGATATATATAAAAGGATACAGATCTTAAGTAACTACTCCTAATATTAAAAAACAGTAAAGTGTTCTGAAAATAATAAATTATATTTCTCGATGCAGATACCAAACTCATACATGAATTCCACATAAATATGTAAAGATATGGTGATGACAAATACACAGCTCATATTCCTTCCCAAATAGTTATCCTCTCACTCTGATTCCATTTTTCTTTCTTGAGCCTGGCCTGAATCTGGAAGTTTAAAATGTGGAATGTGAAAAAAATTCACAATTAAATTAAGTTTCATAAAAGTGTCCAAATTACTACTTCTTTGTCATAGTCATTCTTTCTAGCATAGAATTTGAAATTTACCAGGTACCCAGGGCACATTAAGACTTCATTCCTAGATCATTTATATCTCTTGACTAGACACAGATATACTTTTGAGGTTATCATAACTTACTTATGGATGAATTTTAATTATCTAAATGTCTCAGTACTGCTCATGTATCATAGATATCTTTTTACAAACACACAAACACTAATTGTTGAGAATCTGTAACAGTTCTTAATTTCCAAATATAGAAGTTTGATCATACCACTTACATATGAAGCCTCCAATGTTTTCACTTTGAAAGAAACCAATTGTTCCAAAATGACTGAAAAGTTGGCAAAACATCAAAGAAATACTATCTTTATATTATCACTGGCAAATAGTTATTATCACCCACATCTGAATTATTTTATAAATAGGCCACAGTGTCTGCAACTTTCCACATGAACTCCCCCCAAAACAATGAACTTTTTAAATGACATTCTTCCTACGAAGCATCAATAGCTAAATATCTAAGAAATGAGGACAGACTGTGATATTATCAATTCACAATTTTGTACTTTCTATTTGTTTGACAAGTGCATTAAGTAGCATTTCATCAGCCTTGAAAACAGTACCAATTTGAAGAATAATTTTTATATTTCTCAAACATGGATTATTACATGATTTGAAAAAAAGTAACAAGCAGGCTGAATAAATATGCCATGATATTACTGAATAATATGGATAACAGTAATTGCTATTAACATATTTTAGACTTATTTCAGATTGGGCATCCTAACTATTATGTTTGTTAAATGGCTGATTTTGTAAGTAATTTACATAAAGCTTTTTCTTTGGGCATTTTTTTCCTCTCTTCTACTCATAATTAATGAATGTCTTCTGTACTCATGCTATACTCTGAATTCATCTCTAACATTTAGGAGAAATTAAGAATAGAAGAAAGAGAAAGAATTTTCCCCTAAGGTATTACTTAATGTTTACTTAGTACAAATTACTGAACTATTTACTCACTGGAATCAACAGAAATCAAAATCAGAACCATGCTCTGAAATTGCTGATGATCTAGTTGGAAAGACAGAATATTCACATAATGCACATAGAGTGGTGTATGTACAGGACAAAGCAACGTAAAACCAGATTTCAATCTAGATGGAAGAATCAGCTTCTGATTCAAAGTTGCTTTTTCCTAGTAGCCTCTAGTGCATTGTTTCCAAAATTTTATTTAAATGCCAAGTAGGACCTTTAGAGACAGTTAGCAATGTCTACCACTGATGACAAACCTACACTAGGATCTAGTAACTGATGAACTAATTGTAAACCAGATGGATCTGGATTGAGAAAAATCTATTCATGCTTCCAAATGTAGTTTGGCTTCATGAAACATCTGCCTGGTGTGAAATGAGCTAAAAGCCTCCAAACCCTTTACCATCAAGCCCATGGCTCAGAGGATGTACCAACTAGATAATCAGAAAAATATAGCACCTCTATTATTCAGGTATAAGTAATTCAATGAGGAAGGCAGAATAATTCTTAACTCACACTTTCCTCTCCTCAAGACCAAAATCCAACAATATTTAGCCTCGAGAGAGAGACCAAAAATTCCATTTATAAGGAGAAAGAAAGGGGGCACATAGGGATCTGATAATATATATTTACTTTTTTAGAACTGAAGTTTTCTTAGTAATAAGCAGATCAATTGTTGGATTTTCAGAAGTTTTGATATCAAACATAATTTAATCAGAGTGGCAGTAAAGACAGAATTTAGGAGCAGAGATTCCAAAGTCAGGTAAACATATTTGCAAACCCTCTGCCACTAGGGAAGCTTTTATTCAGCCATCCTTGAGTTTATATTAATCACTAGAGTGAAGATAATAAAATAATGTGATGATTTTTTAAAATTAACTGAACAGTAGATGTAATGTGCTTAATATTATATAGTGGCTGGAAGATAAAAAATGTTCAAGAAAAGATAAGTACAAGTGTTATTTTATTGCTATTAGAGTTGTTATTTTTAACACTATTACTAAAGTATAGGATCGAGAAGAAAAATGTCACAAAACTGATTTGCGTTCACAACAGAATATAAGAGGTCGGAAAGGAGTAAAAAAATCATAAGAAGAAAACAGGGTGAAATGAATTGGTAACAAGGACCAGCTGAAAGGTCACAAAAGGAGAAGTCAAAGACATGAAGGAGAAAAAGTCAGGTTACAAGGGAAATAAAACACCTTTGCAGAACTGGAACCTACCTTAGCAGAAATAAAGGGCAGATTGAAACACTGCCAGACATGAAGAAGAAGAAAACTGAAAGATCTTCAATAAGGAAGATAATCACTAACCAACATAATCTGCATTCCTAGTGAGATACAGAATTAAAGGTTTTTGTCAAAAGAATAACATGATCTGATGATTTAAGATTTGTGCGGTGAATTATATAATATACGAAGAACATACACACATACACACACATACCCATTAAAGAACTAAGCAGACTATCTTATTACACAATAAGTGTGGTACAAAATATTGCCAATATCATAGGATCTGCTTTTACACCACTTCATATCTCTTTTCTTCTACATAAGAGATATCCTTTGGTGAAAAGCCATGTTGTAGCTTTTCTTTGCCATTTCAGCACCAAACTATGCATCCATTATCAATACAGGCACCTCAAAGATATTTCAGATTCAGTTCCACACCACCACTATAAAGTAAATATGGCAATAAAATGAGTCACATGATTTTTTTGGTTTCCCAGTGCATATAAAAGTTATGTTTACACTATACTGTGGTCTATTAAGTGTGTAATAGCATTATGTCAAAAAAACTCCACAATGTACATACCTTAGTTAAAAAATAATTTATTGCTAAAAAAACGTCAACCATCATCTGAGCCTGCAGTGAATTGTAATCTTTTTTGCTGATGGAGGAGCCTGCCTTGATGTTGACGGCTGCTGACTGATCAGGGTCGTGGTTGCTGAAGGTTGGAGTGGCAGTGGCAGTTTCTTAAGACAACAATGAAGTCTGCCACATTAATTGATTCTTCCTTTCATGAACAATTTCTCTGTGGCATGCAATGCTGTTTGACAGCATTTTACCCACAGTAGAACTTCTTTCAAAATTGGAGTCAATTCCTCTCAAACCCTACCACTGCTTTATCAACTAAGTTTATTTAATATTCTAAATCCTTCATTGTCATTTCAACAATCTGCACAACATCTTCACCAGGAGTAGATTCCATCTCAAGAAACCACTTTCTTGGCTCATCCATAAGAAGCAACTCCTCATCTGTTCAGGTTTTATCATGAGATTGTAGCAATTTAATCCCACCTTCAGGCTCCACTTCTACTTCTAGTGCTCTGGCTGTTTCCACCACATCTGCCGTTACTTCTTCCACTTAAGTCTTGAACTCCTCAAAGTCATCCGCGAGGGTTGGAATCAACTTCTTGATTCCAACTCCTATGAATGTTGGAATCCTATGAATGTTGATATTTTGACCTTTTCTTTTGAGTCACGAATGTTCCTAAGGGCATCTAGAATGGTGAATTCTTTCCTGAATGTTTTCAATTGACCTTGCCCAGATCCATCAAAGGAATCACTATCTATGGCAACTATAGCTTACAGACGCATTTCTTAAATAATAAGACTTAAAAGTCAAAATTACTCCTTGATCCATGGGCTGCAGAATGGATGTTGTATAAGCAGATATGTAAATGACATTAATCTCACTGTACATCTTCATCAGAGCTCTTGACCATATGCATAATATCAATATTTTGAAAGGAATCTCTTTTTCTGAGCAGTAGGTCTCAACGGTGGGCTTAAAATATTCAGTAAACCATGTTGTAAATAGATATACTGTCATCCAAGCTTTTTTGTGCCATTTATAGAGCACAGGCAGAGTAGATTTTGCATAATTCCTAAGGGCCCTAGGATGTTCAGCATGGTAAATGAGCACTGGGTTCAACTTAAAGTCACCAACTGCATTAGCCCCAAACGAGAGTCAGCCTGTCCTTTGAAGCTTTGAAACCAGGCATTGACTTCTCCTCTTTAGCCATGAAAGTCCTATGTGGCTTCTTTTTCCAAGAGAAGGCTGTTTTGTCTACATACATTGAAAATCTGTTGTTTAGTGTAGCTACCTTCATTAATTACCTTAACTAGATCTTCTGGATACCTTGCTGCAGCTTCTACATCAGCAATGCTGCTTCATCTTGTACCTTTATGCTATAGAGACAACTTCTTTCCTTAAACCTCATGAACCAAGCTCTGCTAGCTTCAAACTCTTTTTCTGAAACTTCCTCACCTCTCTTAGCTTTCTTAGAATTGAAGAGTTAGGGTCTTGTTCTGGATGAAGCTTTGGCTTAAGGGAATGCTGTGGCTGGTTTGATCTTCTATCCAGACCACTGCAACTTTCTTCATGTCAGCTATAAGGCTGTTTCGATTTCTTATCATCCCTATGTTCACTGGAGTAGCACTTTTAATTTCCTTCAAGCACTTTTCCTTTGCACTTACAACTTGGCTAACTGTTTGGTGCAAGAGACCTAGCTTCTGGCGTGTCTCCGCTTTTGACATGCTTAATGTCAAATGATATCCTCACTAAGCGTAATCATTTCTAGCTTTTGATTTAAGGTGGGAGATATGCAACTCTCCCTTTCACGTGAACACTTAGAGGCTATTATAGGGTTATTAATTGGCGTAATGTCAAAAGTTTTGTGTCTCAGGGAAGAGGGTGGCCCAAGGAGAGGGAGACAGATAGGGGAACAGCCAGTAAGCAGAGCAGGCAAAACAGTATGTATAGATTAAGTTTGCCATCTTATATGGGTGAGGTTCATGGTGCCCCAAAACAATTACAACAGTAACATCAAAGATTACTGATCACAGGGCTTCCCTGGTGGCGCAGTGGTTGAGAGTCTGCCTGCCGATGCAGGGGACACGGGTTCGTGCCCCAGTCCGGAAAGATCCAACATGCCACAGGGCGGCTAGGCCCATAAGCCATGGCCACTGAGCCTGCCCGTCCGGAGCCTGTGCTCCGCCACAGGAGAGGCCACAACAGTGAGAGGCCCGCGTACCACAAAAAAAAAAAAAAAAGATTACTGATCACAGGTCACCATAACAAATACAACAATGAAAAGTTTGAAATATTGCAAGAATTACCAAAATGTGACATAGGGACATGAAGTGAGCAAATGCTGTTGGAAAAATGGCACCAATAGACTTGCTCAATGCAGGGTTGCCACAAACTTTTCATTCGTAAAAAAATGCAATATCTGCAAAGTGCAATAAAGTGAAACATAATAAAATGAGGTATGCCTGTTTAAGGTTTAGGTTTCCTTTTTAATGTACCTACATGGAATCAAACTATATGTACTTTTTGTGCCCCGTATTTTTCACTCAATATCGTTTTTGTGATCTATCTACATTATTCTATATATGCTTTTGAATTATTTTCATTACCGTACATTACTCAATTAGATTAGCAAACTTCAACTTATCTATTCTACTGTTGATGTACATTCAAGCTAATCTCAGGGGGTTTTCTAGGGTACATAACTAGGGCCATAGACTTACAAGGTAATACCAAACATTTAATTTGGTCACACCCATTTCACAATATATAAGAGTTCCCGTTGCTTTATTTTCTCACCAATGTATGGTATAGTCCAACTTTTAAAAATTTTGCCTACATGAGGTATATGTAATGAGATATTATTTCAGTTTTATTTTGCTGACTACTAATACCTTCATAATTCTTTACTCTTTTTAAACATAACGTCAAACGGTATACTTTCTATCTTACTTTCATTATGATGTCATATTTATTAAATCAACTTTCCTGAAGTTTAATTTATATATATAAAATAAAATACACTCATGTAAACTGTATACTTTGACTAGTTTTGAAAATGTATATACCTATATAACAACCATGAAAAACAAGATATAAAACATTTCCGTTACAAAAAAAGTGCCCCATTACTTACCTGAAGTAAAAACCCTGCCATCCTAGACATCATGGAACTAAAGATTTACTTTCTCTCAATATGTATTCCTTTTACCTGATCTCCAGTAGAATTTTACTAGAAGTGACAAGTGGTAAGAGCAGAATCCTTGCCTTCTTGCTAAACTTAGAAAGTTAGTCTTTCACCACTGAGTATGATGTTATTTGGAAGTTACATGGTTATGGCATGAAGTCAGTTGATCCTTGCTAGGTTGAAGAAGTTTCCTTCTACTCCTAATTAGCTAAGAGTTTATACCATAACTGGGTGATGAATTTTATCAAATGCTTTTTCTGTATCTATACAGATGGACATATGATTTTTTTCATTTATTCTTCTCAAATTTTAAAAATATCCTTGCATTACTGGCATAAACCACACTTTGTAACAATTTAGAACCCTTTCTACATATTTCTGGCTTCAATTAGCTAATATTTTGTTAAGGATATTTGCATCTGTATTTATGAGAGACATCAGTCTATACTTTTCTTATAATGTTGTGGCTTGATTTTTACATTGGAGTAATGCTGGCTTTATAAAATAAGTTGAGAAATGTACCCTCTGACTCTGTATTCTGAAATAATTTGAGTAGATTTGGTTTTATTTCTTCCTTAAATATTTGATAAAAATCACCAACGAAACCATCTGTTTGGAGTTTTCCTTATAAGAAGGATTTTATTATAATTTCAATTTCTTTGACATAGAATTATTCAAATTTTAAAGCCATAAATTTGCCTCTAAATTTTAGTGGCATCCCACAAATTCTGATATGTTGGCCATCATCTCTTTAAATATCTCTCTGCCCCATTCTCCAGAACTCCAAATGCATGTATGACTCTGACAGGTATTAGATGGTATGTTCTGGTTTTTATTCCCACTCTTTTTCCCCTTTGGTTTTGGTTAGGATCATTTCTCTTGACCTATCTTCAATTTCATTGATACTTTCCTTAGCTGTGTTCAATCAACTGATGAGTTCATTGAAAGAATTCCCCATCTCTAATACCAAATATATTTTTATATTTCTATGGTTTCCATTTGATTCTTGTAGTTTCCATATCTCTGCTGAAATTCCCCACGTGTTCATGCATGTCGTCCACATTTTCCACTAGATCCTGTAATATGCTAATCATAGTTACTAAAATCCTTGTCTGATTGTTCTAACGTCTGGGTTATATATTCTGTTATGCTTTTATTATGTAAAGTTGATAAATCTAGTCAAGATTTGAGCTTTGTGTTTTGTTGTTGCTATCATTATCGTCAGGGCACATCAGGCTTCAAAATCCTCCAGTGATTCGTTACTATTACCTGTACTTATATAGGGGGCCTGCAGTACTAGCGACTTTTTCTCTGTTCCTGCTTCACCCTCAGCTTTCAACAGTCCCTGATTGCCTATGCCGCAGAGAAGATCTCTCGCAATACTTTTTTGTCTCTCCCCAGCAGTGCTTTGCTCTTGCCTATTATTCAAAATAGACTCATTTTTGTAGTAGGGTAAAGGGAGTTCTGTGGTAATGATCAACCACAGCCTTAGGCAGACTGTTTTTGAGCCTCAAGATTGGAACTTCCTTAGCATTTCTGCCTCAAGAATGGAACTTTCTGGCAGCCAAACTGTCCCTTATATCTGCACTTAGTCTTGTACAGGAGAGAGTTTTCTGCCCCTCCTCCGTGGTTTCTGACTGCTGATTGGTATCCATGTAGGATCCTGGACTCAAGACAGGTCTCCTGCCCCTACCCCAGGAGCAAAAGGTTTCTGCTTCTACCATTCTCTCATCAGCAAAGGATCTTAACCCATGTCCTACCTCTCCCCCAGAAAGGTTTTGCTTTTGCTCCCCTGCTCAAAAAGCAAGAGATTTTTGCCTGGGGTCAGGGTCACAGAGGATTTCTATCTCTTCTAGTATCATCATTTTTTCTAGTATCATAAACCAGCAACTTAGAGCTTTTGCTTCTTATGAGAGAAAGATCTACAGAATGAGATCTTTCATACCTCTCTCCCAGAAAGCTGATCACCTCCTACATACTGCACCTCTTTTGAAATAAACTCCATTTTGAAATCCTCCATTGGAATGACTGTGATTCTGGAATTGATAGAGCTGATGTGTTTTGAAAAGCCAACATTATTAATGATACAGATAAAATACATTAAAATATTATGGAGTGAAAGAGAGGTCGTTTAAAGATAAATTAGTGTCCCCTTGATTGCAATAAATTGTAAGATGTCAATCTTTTCATCTACAGCAAAATCTGGATAATATTATTGACGATGTTAAAAATATATGCATTGTTCTGGGATGTGTGGAGACCAAACAAATTACAGATGCTGTAAATGAACTAAATCTTATTCTTCAGAGAAAAGCAGAGGTAAATACAGTCATTTATTACACAGTAATTATTTTAAACCTAAGTTCAATAATTAATTAAGGAGAGTGAAAGACTTTTGACTAACTAGCATATATGTGGTGTGTGAGTGTGTGTGGGTACATGTACATTTCAATCATTTGCAGGTAATGGAAACTTAATTCTATTATACCAAAAGGATTTAGTTAAATTAAAAGGAAATTTCTTATACCTTTGAAGTGTAACTACAATATAACCTTCAAGTGAGACTGAAATCAACTCTACAATCCTACCTAGATGAATATGCTTATATAATAATATTCACAGGCAAGCGTTTGTATAGTCTATTAATGGCTCTCATGCACACCAGAGTATGCAGATGTAAGCACCCATGCTTGCATGGACAAGCACATATGCAGGAAAGAAACGATCAGTTCATGTGGTATTCTTTGCTGAATCTTCAAGGCACACTGCTTCTATGATCTCACATTCTGTGATGATTTCCTGGTTTTTCAGTTTAAAAAATGAGTACTATGTGATTGGTTTTTTAAATCTCAGAAATATGACGTAGATTACGTGTGATTATTGCCCAAGAAAAAGATTAGGACATCTGGTTACAACAAATCATTCAATCTTGTTATTAGTTTAGCACGTGATAAAGCCAAAAGATATGATGCTGCTGATAATAATAACTAATACCTGATAGTGCATTGCAATAATAGTTTCATTTACGTATTACTTAATTTCACTTCATTTTTATTTTATTTCAATTCATCCTCACAGCAATACCTTGAAATTGGTATTTTAAAGTTCATTTTAGAATTAAAATCTGATGCTTAGAGTGCTTGTGTACAGAGGATTAATAAGTGGCAAAACAGAGATTTGAATCCAGGCCTCTATACACACTCCAGTACATATGAAACTTCATGAGAGAGCGATTGCATTCATTCATTATCTGGATGGATAGGAACAGCAGAGATTATATTACCTTGAATGTGCCAGCCTTGAAATTTCAAAAAGATATATTTAGAAAGTAGACAATTATACTAATATATATAAATTGCCATGCTTATTTTTTCAAATAGATGACTGATAAAAATCAGTAATTTCTTAATGTTGGACTTCCTATGTCTTATTATAATTAGAATTGTGGGTTTTTGTGACTAGATGTAATAATGAATACAGAAATTTAATTACCTTATTTGCATTACATGAACAGTGATAGTGATAACTAAGAAGCAAAAGAGTTATACCACCAAAAGATTTTCCAACACTTGAAGTTAAGCCAGGATACCAAGGTAGTGAGAATTAACTTTCAACAAGGCATTCGTTTCTCTTAGATTATCACATTTTGGAGATATTACAAATACCTAGAGCTGATAATAAAACACAAAGAGCATAGGGTCACACAAAGATGATTTGAATTCAAGATCTACAACTTTCTAGATGAATATCCTTTGGAAAATTAATTCATTTCTCTAAGTTTCAGTTTTCCTCATCTCTAAAACAAAAAAGAAAACAGAATTTGAAGGGTTCTTGTGATATTAGAAATAATATTAATAAAGGGGCTAGATGATAGTGCATCTTGAATGAGAATCATTATTATTACTGGAAGTTGTAGGGATGATGCTGGTGGTAGTTTTTTAGACTCTTCCTCATGAGGACAAGATGAAAGTTTTAACTCACACAAGCACCACTTAGGACCCTCTTATCTCAGGGCCATTGGTTACAGCCAGCTTCACAACAAATATGAGCCTTTGCTAGAGCAGACCAGCTGTATAAATGTGCACACATGTCTTTCCATCTGTTAAGACCACTTGGTTGTTCTTCAATTTTTATGTCCTGCTCTTCGTGAATCAGTAGAAACAAACTGATCAAAGAAGGAGGAAAATCTAATTTTAGGATGAAGCACTTCAAATGCTGTTAAACTAGTACTAGCTATAAAAAGCTTTACCTTTAAACATTCATTTTCTGAAACTCCCTAAAAGAATGAAGATGACAATTTTCTCAGAAATATCAAACTTTCAATATATCTGAAGCCAAAAGAATCCTTCAAGGAGAAACTAAGTATTGATATTTCCTAGGAAAGCTATGAACAATTATAATTATCAAGAGAAGCTCATATTCACATTGCACATTTCTTATATACTTATGAGCAGTAAATTGTATGTGATTATTCATGCATAGAAATGAAGAAAAAAGTTGACAATTAATAGTTTTATTCCATATATGTCAATGGCCAAAGTAAATAGTTCAATATCTCCAAATAAATGTCTACTCCAGATTCTACTTATTTTGAGGACACTTTAAAAGTTCACATATCTCACATCATTCAGATTTTTTCTCCATCCATTTTTCCATCCTATCTTAACTATAGGCCCACCTATACAAGAAAATTGGCACGAATAATAAGTACCTTTTACAGAATTTGTTCATTAACCAACTGTGGCTAATAATGCCAAAGTCGTTCAATCTATCCACCCACCATAAACCTAAGATTAAAGAAATACTGAGAAATATGTCTTCTGCCAACAAACTCAAAATTCAGAAGCTTTCCTTTTTTCTTGGCTGCATTTTTTGGTAAGAGACTATTTCCTGCCATACATGGAAGTAATTAAGTATTTATTAAATGTAAGTTTTGGCAAAATGAAAAAATTGTATCACAAATGCAGTTGTACTCTGTCTACTGCATGCTCCCACTCAGCACTGTAAACAATTTTCCATCCTTCAGAATTATATTCCAGAAGCTCACATATTTCCATTAAATACAAAATAAATGAACTACAAAATAAAAAATACGGTCTTACGCATTGTGCTGTAGGTGGATGTCATGGTGATCTTAAAATACTAGTTTACATTTCTGAATAAACTGAATTCTAGTTAAGTCATGCTGACATGTTTAATAGTCTCACCCACATGGCTGGGGTAAAGATCTTATGTGTAGTTGTTAAGCCCAGTGGTTGAAACTATGCTCAGATGAAATATTTTACCTAAGAGAAATGCTTCTGAAAAGGTTCATGTGAATGATGCTTTTAAGTGAAAAGTTGTATGTAAATTTAATTACATTCTAAACACTACAGAAGTGTTTTCTCTCTAAAAGGAATACTGTACCAAGTTCTTTGTTACAGGAAAATGATTATTCCCTAGTTTATCTGTTTGAAAATCCAGCTTTTCATTAATTGGATTTCCTTAAAAGCAAACTTGTCAAAGCAAAATATTAAAAAAATTTAGTGTCAATTAAAATGGATCTTATTAGAAAACTGAATTTGCTTTTGGACTGAAACGTCATTTCTAATGAACCTGTGAATCACCTACCTTATACAGTTTTCATGATAATAAAGTTATAACCAGTAAATACTAAACCACTAAAGTAATTCCAGGCCTACAATAGAGATAAACATAAACAAACAAGCAAACAAATAAAACCACCAAGCTAATGTATATGAACTTAAATGACAACAAAAATTTCAGACAGTATTTTTTTAAAATTCAGGATATGATCTCAAGTGTTTGACTATCATTTTTTTAACCCTAAAAAATAAAGGAAACTATATAGTGAATCTGTATGATTTTGCACCCTTCCATCCAGCCTTCTTTCTGTGCTGCCCAAAGCTTGTATCTGAAGTGACAGCTAAAATAAGAACTGGACACACTAAACAAAGAGAATTACAAATCTTTTATATTAAAAGTTTAGTCACTGCTGTGGAAGGGGGATTGAGTTTAGGCTATATCTGTAGAACTGTTCTAATAATACTAAAAAAAGGCTGAGCTTATGCTAAAGATTTCTTTTTTTTTTTTTTTCCTGAATCAAATAACCTAGATTGCTGATTACAACAGTCAGAAGGCTTTTCTTTCATTTTTACAATTTAGATTTCCTCTGTTTAGTAAGCAACATTGATATATGACACCAATAAATACATTTTCTTTTTATCATGCCAGAGAAATTTCTGTATGTAGACTTTGGATATTATTGGTTTGGTTTCCTAAATTTGTTTTCTGAATAACAAGTGTATCTTTGGACCTGTTTTTCTTTTTCAGAATATTCATCAAAATTCAGAAACTTCAGCAAAAGGTAAAACATACATGCATACTAAACAAATTATAAAACCAAAAATAATTTATATTTTTCAATTTTTCTCCAAATATTATAACACACACCAAAAGAATACTTTTGAGGGAAAAAATGCTTTGTTAAAACTTTATTTACTGATGGAAGTGATTGTTCTGCAAGTGAATAAAACTCCACACTCCCTAAACTTTTGGCCTGAGGTTTTTTAAAAATAGGGAAAGTCAAGAGAGCTATAAAAATTAAAGGAATACTGAAAATATCCTTACAACAATTCCAAGAAACGATAAAATTTTATTTAGCTAATTATATCTTGAAGTAAGAGAAGTCAGAAATGCAGCAGATGTCTTTCTTCAAAGTCACAAATTTCAAATTTAAATTCAAGTTCTATTTGAAAGACCAATTTAACATAACAGGTAGGAGGATTGGTTCTGGAATAATTAGTATTCACAGAAGCTCTGAGCCTACAAAACTGCAAGCCACAGGAGGACTTTGCCTCTGTAGAAAAGAGCAGACTGTGACAGTGTGGTGTAGAGGAATCAGGCAGAACTGGTTTTGAATCCCCACTCTGCCCACTTTTTGACTCTGATCGTAAAGAAGTAAACTCTTTGATCCTCAGTCTTCCTAATATGCATAAAAGATAGGATAGTATGTAAAGTGCAGGGTGTGGTCAGGGTTGTTCTTGTTTGCACAGGCAGATGGTATTTGGCTTATGAACACTTATGAGTATCTTTAAGGAAATGGTCTGACTCACAGATGTTCAACTAACACCCCTGGATTCAAAGGTGACAGTGAAGCACAAATGATAACCCCAATCTGCCCTCCACACCCTTAGTGGTTTTCAGTAGAAAGTTATGTACAGAGCGATAGCCCCTCAACTCTATTCCCACCACTCAAAAGAAGACATTCAATTACATGGGAAGAACTCCCCCACTTCACATCATAGAGGAAAATGGGACAGCAAAGGATATGGGACAAAAAAATCTGTGCTATTGCAAAAATCTAGGCATTCATAAAACTCCAGAACACCACAGAATAAGGGGAGAGAGAGACACCCCCTAACAATGTTTCTAACACAGAGTCCAAGTGAAAGTGCGGAGTGAACAAGCTGGAGGTATGCCTATATGAAACTGGCCCTTTCTTCCTTTCTATTAGGAATGCTGGAATAAAATCCCCTCATCCCATGTTCCTCAGGGGTTGGGATATGAGATCTCACAAAACTGCACAGAAATGTTCCCAGGGACTTATATTCTATGCTAAGTCATCACAGAGAAGGAATTAATTCTATGGATTAAAAATTCCCATCCACAGCTCTCATAAGCTTTTGATAAATTAGAATTCTCGTTCTGCAAGATAAATATATTTTTTTCTAATATTTTATTATGTAGAAGCACCTTACAGCAGTTTATGGAGCAGAAAGAAAGAGTTTGCTGAAATGACAGCAAAATGAAATGAACATTTGCCAGCATATACATGCAGTTGCTTTCTATTCGGGTACTCTGAAATAAAATTCTAGAACACTCTTTACACAAAATGTTGATCCAACAATAAGCCACTATTATTGATGATTCTTATACTTAATATTCTTATTGATTAACCTCAATATACCTTGAAGCTGACAGGTTTGATCATACCTGTGCTCTACACCAGTGGTGAACAAATCTGGCACGCTGCCTGTTCGTGTGAACAAAGTTTTTTTTGGAACATGAAAAAAAACCCAGATTTTAATGCAGACCATGTCTGCAAGGAAAGTACAGCCTTCATTGGACAAAAGAAGCATTGGACATAGGATGTGACAAACAGTAACGCTATAGAGACCATTTTCCTTTCAAATGTACACTAGAATAAAGTCATGTACTCTTACCACTTCATTTCCAAAAAAAACAAAACAGATTCTAATTAATGCATTTTAATTGCCTATATATTGTCATTGTTTCTTTATTTCCTGATAACTATAACTCTTTTCTCATTGCAAAATCAGGTGTGATAAGTATTATTTCTCCATATTTCACCACCAAGCCCAGTACTTTGAGTCCTTAATACATTTCTGATGATATCTGAAATGCATTTTTCACCCAGAGTACTGGAAGTAAAGCATAATGCATAAGCACACATCCCTACACTACCTCAAAGACGCAAATTATAACCTAAAATTGTATTTCAGCACAAAAAGTAAAGAGTAGAGTTTGAGTAATTATCCAAATAATTAAGATTCTCCAAAATGTGTGCTGGAGCTTGAATTAATGAGATCTCTCACTCAAGTTTATGATTTGTGTATTCATTTGCACAAGATTGGGAATTATTAATGAGAAGTTGGTGCTTCCTGCTTCAGAGTACCAACAGCACAATCTGGGGACTGGAGAAACAAGATGTTTCTATAAATTTATAATTCTCTGCCTCCTGTTGTTCAGGAGAATCCCTGTTGGTTGGCCTCCAGAGTTTGAGGAGGCCTCTTTAAAGACTATTTTTATGCTGCTTTACTCTTCTGTTTCATTAATTGCTACTGCTGATTTCTCAGAGAATTTTAATTACAGCTCTTTCACTCTGCTTGTCACCTCAGGCTGTTTCAACAAAGGACACAATTTTAGAAATACAGCAAATAAGGAAAATTTGGCCATCTCATGAATTTTGTACAAATTTATAATAACTGTGTTGAACAACAACAACATGTTTAATTAGGGGCAGAGCTACTGAGGGACAGGATGTGGGAAGAAGCTCCATGCTGAAGCTGGCCTCTTTCCTGAGTATCCAAACGCCTGAGCACTGGAACACTGCAGATTGTTGGAGAAAACATAAAGCTCTTCCTGCTATTTTCTTTTCAAACCAACTAGGAACCAAAAAGTAATTTATGCTTGTAAACTACTTACGAGAAAGTGCACGTGTTTGAAAAAACAGCAGTACTGTGTGATTTGACACTGAACATGACTACGCCAAATCTGTGACCTGTTCCGTTCCTAATCTTAATGGACATTTCTGTTTCTATAACTTAAAATATGAAAACCTTTAAATATCGTACAGTGAATAAACACATTATGTGAATTAAAAAAAAACAGACCTTAGGAACATAAGTTTTAAGGATGTGCTTACTTGTTCTCTCAACGTCTCCTCAGCTTCCCAGGGTTCGGCCACCTCGCTCTCCTGGGCTGTGGCCCCGGGGGGACTCGGAGCTGCACGTGGCCCAGCCTCCCGCGGGGCTCGGAGCGGGGTTGGGCGGTGGAGCCCCGCCCCGGGCCTGGCGTCGAGGGCCCCACCTGGGAGAGGTGAGCACCACTAGCCTTGCTCAACCTGTGGAAGAAGAGCCTGCAATCTGGAGAAGAAGAACTGGTGTTCAGGCTGGACCACTACGAAGCCAAGGCCACGCGGCACATCTTCCTCATCAGACACTCCCAGTACCACGCGAACGCCTCCCTGGAAAGAACCGCCCTTTGACCCCCCGAGTCGTGAACCGGAAGTACTAACTGGCCTGGGACTCACCAAGGTCGGAGTTGAAGTTTAATAAAATCGTCCGTCCGTCTGTGACCAGCGCTATAGAAACCTCCAACAGCATCAGCTAACACCTGCCAGGCGTCTGGAAATTCAGCACAGCCCTGCTGGGGGGAAGGCGGCCCGTTGAAGCCGACCCACCCGGGTCTCGCGGGAAACGGAGGCTGTGCGGAATCACGAGACTGAGCTCGGATGCAGGCCGACTTCTGGAGCTGCGTCCATGGGCGGACGGCGAGCATCTTCAGCCGCTATCCCTTGAGCGGGCGCGGCCGTTCCCTCCACAGGCGGGCCCCGCGCATCCCTCCGCCTCGGCCGCATCACCCACCCGGCGGTCCCGCCCGAAGGCCGAGGAGCTGTCCGGACGCTCGGGGACACGGCCTTCAGGCCTCCGGACCAAAGGCGGACCCTCTGAGGGCCGCCTCGAGGGGCCGCTCTCCTCCTCAGCCCTGCGCCCAGCTACCTGCGTGGGAGCCGGCGATGACACGGTTTCTCCCCTCTGACTTCCCCGCATGGACTGTAGTGCCGTTTCGTTTCATTTCTCCAGGACAAGGCGTAGGAAAAGTAGAAATATCTAAAATTCGGCATATCAGTACATATTTCTGGCCCAGGATGGAAAAGGGAACGTTCAGGTCGTATCTTTGGCAGGGTTTTCTGCGTCACTCTCATCTAACAAGACGCACCTGTGGGGTTTAAGGAGGCCCTTTTGGGGGGATTGGACGAGGCCTGATGTATCAAGGGGTCTTGGTCATGACCACAGGAGCCTTGCGACCCCCGACCCTCGAGACTTCGTCAGCAAAGACAGGCACGGGTGACTCAGGAGCAAGAGGGCGCCAGAGCTTCCATTCATGACACTTCACTTTATACATTCACCTAAGACCCTTTGTCACTTAAATATGTGTCAAAGATTTTCCTCTTCTAGGTTAAAAAAAAAATTTTAAAACATAATTTTTATATTTGAGATTATTCATTTAACTTCTAAAACATTATAGTTGAATATTAAAAATAATTTCAAGTCGTGAGCATTATTATGATTATCGGCCTTCACTCATTCACTACTGCATACAAAATACCAGCAGTGAGTGTTATTCACTGGCCCCATTAAGAGTCTGACAGTGAATCCTACCCAGGATGACGTTCGTCATCCTCATAACCTTCTCCATTGTCGTGGCGCCATCTTTCCTGCTTTGGATCAGAGTCCACCAGTTCTGCCTGGTCCATTTCATCAGCCTCTTCTGCTTCCTTCCCCTCAGAGAGGAGTTTTTCCAGCAAAGCGTCTATTGGGAGAGAGAACACCATTCTCAGAAAAATTTACCTTAAATTCGATGATTAAGGGACACTTTTCATGTGTTCTACAGTAAATTGGCATGCCTTCATTTAGCAGACGCTTGGAAACTCCTGGCCTCTGTACTTAAACAATTTTATTCATTTTTTTTTTCCTTCATGACAAGTCACTTCTGGGAATAATCAATAGACTCCCTTTAAATAACTAATGGTAAAACTCAAGTAAGGCTTTGATTTTGAAGAAATGTAGTAAATATCATAAATCTTTCACTTTAAACTTATTTCAGATCCCAGCCATGTACTAATACCATTCTCTTTTTATAGCAGCACAATGTATATGATTAGTGTTCAGTTAATGGCAAACATCATAGTATAATCAAACTTATTATGATTAATTCTTTAGATGGAGTTTGTTTAAAGTACTTATAAGCCATGTAGATAACATGTACCTTGTCTGAAAATTAATTCTGAACAATAATAATCTAAAACAAAAATATTGCAAATTACAGTTGATCAGAATGCCAAATTAATAACCCAAAACTCTGATTTGTGATTAAAGGTTGTGCTTCCCAAATTTCTGCAACTAAAGATATGAAAGCTTATTAACTATCTGTACTACTAGCAGCTAACCCAGGCTGCATACAGAGGCACAGATGGCTAATTGGCTTCAGTTAGTAGAGGGTCATTTAAAATAAATTTTCTTTAAATTTTGTTATAAAAATTTTCAAAGCTGTAACAGATGGTTTTATGATAAATATTGCCCTTCACAGATGACCTGACTTCTATCCCTTTCCCCACCTAGGTTTGATAGAAAGAGTGACAACTGAGCTATCTACCTCCGTCTACCACCTAATTGATATCTATTGCAGCAGCTTTTATGCAGATTTCCAGCCTCTAAATGCACCTGTGCATAGTGTTTCCTGCGTAAATCTGGGGCTCCATTCCCACCTTAGCTTCACAGTGTATGCAGCCCACAATATTCCAGAGACCTGGGTGCACAGGTAAGTAATGATGAGGTTTTTGCAAAAGGTTAATTAATTTTGTGTAGCTTCTAATTGAGTATAATTTGCCTTGTTCTTATTTGCAGGAGCAAACATTTTATTTTGAAATTTAATTAGCATGGATTTATCCATATTCTTAAAATCATTTACAACTTTATTTCCAGTGCACATTCCTTTTCCCTCAAGTCTTCTCCCATTCTCCATATTAAAAATAACTGCATGTTGTCCATGTATCATTATGGAAACAGAAAATGCTCATCCTACTTAGTGATTGCCCTAAATTTTTCATTTTTTATGTTTGAGTTTAAATGACTAATGCCATTTAACACAGAGCAAGATAGCACACACACATACAGGGTGATGGGGAGTATTTAAAAATAGAAAAAAAGTCACTTTGATCCCTATCAAGTTGTGAGCAGTAAATATTTTGTGAGATTAGTACATTGATAAAGTGGGAATTAGCCAAGAGTTATTTGAGTTACAATAGAAATTAACCACATTTATGCATGGAACATTGCCAGATTTTAGGTTGACTCTGTTATATAGTATTTTCTTGAATAACATAATTAGAGTAATATTATAATAATTTTTTAAAATTCCTTATGGATTAAATCTATAAGAAAATACTGATTAAATCAATTAAAGTTGATAAGAGAATAGTAATTTTCTAATGGATTTATTGTACCCACTGCATTTAGCATCTCAAAGAAAGGCTAAAAGAAACAATTTTAGAAAAAAGAGAAATAATTTTTATCTTGGAGTGTATTTTTGCAAATAACAACTGTACGAATATTTATAGAGTTAATTATAAAGGAAATTTTACCTTCATATGTAAAAAACAAAAACTCTATCATCTCTCTGTCTCACATATGCATTTCTTTAAAACCCATGGGAAAATTGTCTTATGCTTTTTCTTAATTTTATGAAGAATTTTAAGAGGCTGATGTATAATCTAACAAATTGCCACTCTAATGAATGTTCTCATAATTTTTAAATCATTACTATATCCTTATTAATTTTAATTCACATGGAAAAACTATGTAGCCAGATAAATACAGATAAAGCTATATGCATAGAGCATGTATTCAGTATTTATATATGGTGGGAAATTTAGTTCTGTTTATTTTTTCTATTGTTTTTCTATTCTCTGTTTTTTTTATTTCACATAATCTTTATTATTTTCTTTCTTTTAGCTTTGGGCTGAGTTTGTTCTTCTTTTTCTAGTTCTTTGAGTGTAAATTTAGATTATTGTGATCTTTTTTTTTTAATTTTTAATTCTTTTTAAATTTTTTTTTAAATTTTATTCTTTTTTTAAAAAAATTTTATTGAAGTATAGTTGATTTACAATGGTTTGTTAGTTTCTGCTCTACAGCAAAGTGAATGAATTATACATATACGTATATCCACTCTTTTTTAGATTATTTTCCCATATAGGTCATTACAGAGTATTGACAAGAGTTCCCTGTGCTATACAGTAGGTCCTTATTAGTTATCTATTTTATATATAGTAGTGTGTATATGCCAATCTCAATCTCCCAACTTATCCCTCCCCCGCCAAGCTTTCCCCCCTGGTAACCATAAGTTTGTTTTCTACATCTGTGACTCTATTTCTGTTTTGTAAATAAGTTCATTTGTACCATTTTTTTAGATTCCACATATAAGCGATATCATATGATATTTGTCTTTCTCTATCTGACTTACTTCACTCAGTATGATAATCTCTAAATCCATCCATGTTGCTGCTAATGGCATTATTTCGTTCTTTTTTATGGCTGAGTAATATTCATTGTATATATGTACCACATCTTCTTTATCCATTCATCTGTCAATGGACATTTAGGTTGCTTCCATGTCCTGGCTATTGTAAATAGTGCTGCAGTGAACATTGGGGTGCATGTATCTTTTCAAATTATGCTTTTGTCTGGATATATGCCCAGGAGTGGGATTACAGGATAATATGGTAGCTCTACTTTTAATTTTTTAAGGAACTTCCATACTGTTCTCCATAGTGGCTGTGCCAATTTACATTCCCAACAATATTCCCTTTTCTCCACACCCTCTCCAGCACTTATTGTTTGTAGATTTTTTGGTGATGGCCATTCTGATTGGTGTAAGGTGATACCTCATTGTAGTTTTGATTTGATCTTTCTTCTTTTAATGTAGGCATTTATTGCTTTAAACTTCTTTTTTTAGTACTGCTTTTGCTATATCTCCTAAGTTTTGGTATGGTGTGTGTTCATTTTCATGTCTCAAGATATTTTCTAATTTCCTTTTTGATTTCTGTTTGACCCATTAGTTGTTCAAAAGTATTCATTTACTTATTCATCTCACTTATGTGGAATCTAAAAAACAAAACAAAACAAAATGAAAACAGACTCTCAGAGAACAAGTGGATGCCAGAAGGGGGGGTGGGGATGGAGGTGAAATAGGTGAGGGGGTTAAGTGGCATAAGCCTCCAATTATATAATAAATAAGTCCCTGAGATATAATATACAGCATAAGGAATATGATCAATAACATTGTAATAACTTTTTTTACCCATACAGTTGGTTACTCACTCAACTTATCATGGTCATCATTTCATAATGTATGCAAATATCAGATCATTATATATTACACCTGTAACTAACATAATATTGTACAACTATATTTCAATAAAATAAAAAAGAGAAACTAAACAGTGTTAATTCCCATTAATTTGAGAATTTTCCAATTTTATTTCTGCTACTGATTTCTACTTTTATTTTATTTTATTTGTTCAGAAAATATACTTGGCATGATTTCAATTTTCTCACATTTGTTAAGACTTGTTTTGTGACCTATTTTGTGATCCATGTGCACTTGAGAAGAATGTGTATTGCCCTAAGCTTGGGTGGACTGTTGTATAAATATTTGTTAGGTTCATTTGGGCTATAGTATTATTCAAGCCCTCTGTTTCTTTATTGGGCTTCTGTCTGTTTGTTCTATTCATTATAACCAATATTGAGATCTTCTGTTATTATTGTGTTGTCTATTTCTCCTTTTCATTCTGTCAATGTTTGCTTAATATATTTGCTTCAATTTGGGGTGCATGTATATTTACAACTGTTGTATCCTCTTGATGAGTTGACCCCTTTATCATTATATAATGTCCTTGTCAGTTGTGACAGTTTTAACTTAAAGTCTATTTTGTCTTATATAAGTATGGCCACTGCTGCTCTCTTTTGATTACCATTTACATAGAATATCTTTTTCTGTCCTTTCACTTTCAGGGATGTCCTTAAATCTAAAGTACATCTCTTGTAGACAGCGTATGGCTGTATCTTGTTTTCTAATTCATTCAGTTATGCTGTGTCTTCTGATTATAGAATTTAATGTATATTTAATGTAATTAATGATAGGGAAGGACTTTCTATTTTCATTTTTTTCATTGTTTTCTATCTTGTAGCATTTTTGTCCCTCTTTTCCTCTCTTGCCATTTCCCTTTGTGTTCTTTTGAGTTTTTGTAACGGCATACTTCAATTCCTTTCTTATTTTCTTTTGTTTATCTTCTATAGGTAGGTGTTTTCTTTGTGGTGACGATGGGCCTCACATAAAACATCTTATATTTAAAACACTGTTTTAAGCTGATAACAACTTCAATCAGATACAAAAACTCTACTCTTTTCTTCTCCCCTCACCACACTTTATGTTACTGATATCACAAATGGCATCTTCTTATATTTTATATATTTTTATTATTAAAGTTTTTCCATACTTTGTCCATTATAGTCTATCCAGAGTTAAAACTTGTTCATGTACCACCATTACAGTCTTACAGTATTCTGTATTTGTCTGTATATTTTTCTTTACCAGTAAGCTTTTATACTTTCATATGCTTTCGTGTTGCTGTCTAGCATCTTTTCATTTCAACTTGAAGGACTCCCTTTAGCATTTCATGTAAGTCAGGTCTAGTGCTGATGAACTCCCTCAGCTTTTTACCTGAGGAAGTATTTATTTTTCCTTCATTTTTGAAGGACTGCTTTGCCAGATATAATTATATTTTTTTCTTTCAGAACTTTGAATATATCATTTCCACTCCATCTGGCCTTTAAGGTTTCTGCTGAGAAATCTGCTGAAAAACTGATGAGATCTCTTTTATGTGGCAGATCACTTTTCTCTTGCTGCTTTCAAAATTCTCTCTCTGTCTTTGACTTTTGATGTTTGATTTTAATGCGTTTTAGTGTGGTCTTCTTTGGGCTCATCCTAGTTTGGTCTGTTGGGCTTCTTGAAACTGAGTGTTCATTTCCTTACTGACAATTTACAAGTTTTCAGCCATTATTTCTTCATATCAGCTTTCTGCCTCTTTCAGTTGTTTCCTCCTGGGACTCATATAATGTGTATATTTGTCCTGTGTGTCCCTTAAGTCCCTTAGACTTTCTTCACTCTTCTTCATTTTTTTTCTTTTTGTTTCCCTAACTGAATAATTTCAAATACCTATCTTTGAGCTCACTGATTTTTTTCTTCTGCTTAATCAAGTCTGCCCTTGAACCTCTCTACTGATTTTTTTTTCAATTCAGTTATTGTATTCTTCAGCTCTAAAATTTCTGTGTGGTTCTTTTTAATATGTTTATCTCTTTCTTGATGTTCTCATTTTGTTATATATAAAATTCTTTGTCAGGTAGTTCATATACTTCCATTTCTTTAAGATTAGTTTCTGGAGATTTATTTTGTTCCTTTGCTTGGGCCATGTTTTCCTCTTTCTTCGTATACCTTGTTTTACTTTGTATTGGGATTTGAGCATTTGAAAAAAACAGCTACCTCTCCCAGTCTTTATGGAGTGGTTTCATATAGGGGAAGAATGTTACCAATCAGTCCAGCTAGAGATTTGCGGGGCCTTTCAAATATTTTCTGTAGATGCATATTCCCTGGGCTTCTGTGATGCACACTACACTTTCCCTGCTCCCCTCTCTTCCTGCCAATGCAGAGACCATCAAGCTGCATCAACCTCTGTCTGTTGCCCCACATATCCTCTGGAGTGGCAGCAAGCCTCCCAGCCCTTCTTTGTTCTCCTAAATCCATGGTCCCCAGGCATTTAGAGTATATCATACCCTGTCAGCATTCTGAGACAGAAACCAGTCCCTCAGGCAGCACCCCCCAAAAAAGCTGCAACATTGGAATCACAATCCAAATCTTTCCCAAGGGAGAAGCTGGGAGTTGGGGGTTTTCTCCTATTCATTTTGCACTGAGCTGGGGGGAAGTGGTGAGTGAGTTTGTGCTAGTTCAAACCATTGCCTTTGTTCTCAGAGTCCTCCAAACTGGCACCCATTCCTATTCTGCATTTAGATTCAGCAAGAGAGAAACCTGTCCCTTGGATAGACCCCTAAAAAGTCTGAATGTTAGGCATATGTTCTAGTCTTCTCTTTCCCAGCCAAGGGAGAAGCTGGGAGCTGGGAGTTTCCTCCTGATCCCACTCTGCTGTGAGGAGGAGCTCTGCAAAATGAGTGCCATGAATTTTCCTGCTGATTTTTATGTGGCCGGTTTTGCACTTGCCTGTGGTGCAAGAGCCTTTTAACATGTTTCTGGATTTCTCGCAAAGGAAATTGAATTGGTGTCTCCAGGGGGGAAGGAGGGTCTAGGGCTTCTTATTCTGCAATCTTGCTGAAGTCACCAAACATAAATTCTTAGTAATTTTTAAAGTACACTCTATACAAGCAAATAGCACTTTATCATTTCATTTGACTTTTAACTATAAAAATAATTGACCCATATAGAAAACTGGTTCCTTTATAGCGTTCAGCTTATTGAATCAATGTTGTTTCTTTTTAGGTATAAAGCATTTTCTTTTTCCTGTTGGCTTACATATGCTGGAAAGAAACTGTGCCAAGTGAGAAACTGCAGAAATATTCCAGTCAAAAAATTGTTTTTTTTCTTGGTCAACTGGAATGAAACGTAAGTTTAATCTTTATTCTGGCAGGATCATTTGTCTAATAAAGATCAGGGTTTTTTTCACCCTTTTCTTAAGTGAAGGGTATGATTTTTTTAAAATATTGTCAGTTGATTTGATTCAGTGATGTGATAAATAGGCTAGGTATAATAGATAACTGATTTCAATTCAGCAGATTAAAGGTCCATTTAAAAATCTAGATAAGTGTCCAATCTACGTGTGTTGAACTGCTCAAAGAGGGAAATTGGGAAAGGGAGAATTATTAATCATTCACAGACTGTGGATAAAAGGAATACCCTTTACTTGGGGTCAGAGAGAGGTAGATTCCAGATATAACAAAGAAGAAAGAAATCACCTAATAACATATGTAGTCTCCATTTTTCCCCAAAAGCCAGTTATAAATTTGTTTAAACAATCAAGTTTTTGAACAGTAATTATCTATGCATTGTGTAAACTGTCACCTAATTTGGGGTAAGCAACTCCTACTTCATAATTTTATAGAGATTTATTAAATGAAGAAGGAAGAGTACCTTCTTGACACTATCCATGCCTTCCTCTTCTTCTCTGCCTCCCACCTCAAGCCTTTGCTTTACTCAGAATCTCAGGGGGCTCCTAGGCTCCATCTATGGTTTTTATATGGTTACCATTGCTTTTCCTTGCTATTCCCATGACACTGCTCTGCTGTCCTTTCTCTGGGGTCTCCACTGATCCGCTGAGAACATATTTTCTTCCCACCACAAGTAGAAGCAAACTCCCCAGCCTACTATCCATCAGCCATTTCAGAAGATCAGGCTTTCTTAGGAGATAATTTGACTCCCAATATTGTACTGTCCTATTGATATATATGAGCCAAAACTTCTGGGACTCTGAAGATGGTGTTAGAATAGTACCATCTATCCCACTCTTAGTGTTACCACAATCAATGGAGACTGAGTCCTGAGGCATAACATGTGTTCCTCAATTCTTACGTACTCCAAAGCAAATCCTCCTCCTTCTAGGTCTGTGACAACCTTTATCTCTTCTTGAAAACCTGACCTTCAATTACAAAATCCCCTTCCATTGCACAGAATCATTTCTGCTTGTAAAATTCTTTAGTGGCTCCCCAATTCCTATAAGGTAAAATACAAGTAATTTAGCATAGCACACAAGGCCCTCTGTGGTTTGGTCCCTGCCTATCTCTGCACTTTCACCTCTGGAGTTAGCCCCACTGTCTGCCCATGCACCCAGCCAGCCACTCTCTGCGTCTGATCTACTTACCCTATGAACTGAGAAATCACGCCTCTGCTAGGGGTCATCCATCTGTCAGAAGGACAGTGTCTTCACTGCCTACTTTGGGAACTCCTAATTATCTTCCAGAACACTCCTCCACCTTCTCTATAAACCCGTTCCTGTATCATTCTGTAAAAATTGGCCACCTTTTCTTTTTTTGTTTGGTCTGAACCTCAAAGTACTGTCTTATGGTCGCTTACTGAATGTGTTTGTTTACATTTCTGTTTGCTTCTGCTAAAGGATACAAAGATTTTTATTTTCAAATTTTAAAATTTTATCCCTAGCAGATAAAGCAGCACCAGACAGACTAAGACTCCAGGAAGTGTAGCTTGGAAAGTGAATGAATTTTGTATAATAAGTGATTCCTCAAAAATGCATTAACCAGCTCAATTACTAGAATTATTCTTCTGACTTAATTAAAACATTCCTGGTTGTTTCAAAAAGTCAGATTCATTTTCAACTGACAGATATGTGCTATTATTTAAACAATTCAAGGGGAAAATCTACTAATTCTAAAGTCAAAGAAAAAAAATCTCAAAATAAATGGAAAATCATTAGTGTTGTTGGAATAACTTCATTGGTATACTTTTCTTCTCTTCCTTCAAGAGTGCATGAGTGTTTCTCTTCCATCCTCCCTATCCCATCCCTCCAGGTGGTCACAAAGCACCGAGCTGATCTCCAAGAGGGAGGAGATATGGGGACATATGTATATGTATAGCTGATTCACTTTGTTATGAAGCAGAAACTAACACACCATTGTAAAGCAATTATACTCCAATAAAGATGTTAAAAAAATAAAAAATAAAATATAAGTAAAAAATTTAAAAAATAAATTAAAAAAAGAGAGTGCATGATTGTTATCTTTCCTGTGAGAGTTTCTCACAGGAACAGAACAGATACTGTCGTCTCCATTTTACAGATCAGAATATTAATGTTTATGAAGCTTAATTAACTTACCCCAGGTCCCACAACCAGTAAGTGACAGAACTAGTGCTCAGACCCACTCTGACTCCAAAGCTGAGGTTTTTACTGTGATTTTCATACTGTTTCTTACAACATGTAAAATCTTGGGCTGAGTATTTATATTCTACAAATAGTTCTCACATCTTAAATTAAAAAAAAAACAAAACTCTACTTCTTTTTTTCAACAGCAGCCATGACATTTTTTCCCTCTACTTTGCAGCAAAACCCTTCCGAGGAGTCGTCTGTATTCACGTTCTTCCATTTTTTTCCTCTGCTCTCATGCATTCTCCAATCAGGCTTTCATCATCTCTGCTCCACTGAAATTGACCATTAGAGTCACTCATGACCTGCAAAGCTAAATCTGATATTTGTTTCTCAGTCTTCATCTTACATGATCTGGTAGGAGCTGGCTCCCACATTCTTTAAGCTTTTCTCCTCCCTCGCGGGGCATTCCTTCTCCATATTCTTTTCTTCTCCCAGACTGATCATAGTCTTAACCCTAAAGCCTCTTCTGTTGTATCTATCTTTACTCCTTAGTTTTCTCTTATAGTCACATAGCTTTAAATGCCATCTGTATGCCAACAACTCCCAGATTTATTTCGCCAACACAGGCATCAGTCACAAACTTCACACGTACTCACTCAACATGTCTAAAACTAAACTCTTGATCTTACACTCCAAACTTGTTCCACCCATGGATGGCCACTCTGGATGATCATTTCCAGTATCGGTTGTTCAGGTCAGATTCTTAGCCTAAATTTCCTTCTCTCAGAACACGATGTCCAGGAATCCTACTGTCTCTCTCCTCAAAATATTTCCAGAACATTACTTCTCATCATTTTCACTGGTCTAGGCCACCATCATATCTACCCTGTATTCCTACAGTAGCCTTGAAATAGTCACCCTACTTCTCTTGCACCTTTAGAATCCTTCTCACACAGCAGTTAAAGTAACCTCTTTTAAAATGTAAGTCAGGCCACATCATTCTTCTGTTTTATAATCCTACAATGGCTCCCTTTTTCACTCAGATAAAAGTCAAAGTCCTTACAATGGTCTGTTATTTTATATTAGTGTTAATAAGGGAGTTCTATACAATGTGACTTTTTAAATCTTCCATTTTCACTATCAAAAACTTATTCTGATTTTAGAAAAGCTGTCTCATATAGAAGAAAAGAATGTTTAAGAAAAATTTTAGTGCTTACTCATTTTTAAACAGCAGAGTAAGGCAAACATATGGTTAAAACTTGAGGTCTGTGCCAACAGCTTGGATATAAAGAAGCAATCTGACTTCACTTATTGAATTGTCTCTTAAAGTATTTTTCTTCCTTGTTTTGTGTAAAAGTTCATTCCTTTGATTTTTCAACAGCCATGTAGAAGTTAATAAAAAAAAGATTTCTCAGTGACTCTGAGATTATTCTGGCTTCAAAAATCCATATCTATTCAAGAAATGAATAAATAACTATTTGTAAAGCATATATTCTTACCCTAGAAGAATTTATCTTTATTAATAAAAATGACAGAATGGAGATTGGAAGTAACTATCCACTGTAACTTATCGAATTTTTTGTCATTCTTGATATGAAAAGCTCACTAATAAGTGAAGTTATACATGAAGAAGCCAGACTCAATGGAAAAAAGAACTTTCCAGATTATGTGAGAAATAAAGTGAAATTATAGCTTCCATCCTACCACAGCAATATGAAAACTGAATAGCAAGTCAATTACAGGTAAAAGAGAGAATATTCAAGAAATTACTGTGCATTCCACAGAATCATCAACATTTTATGTTGAGTTTCAGAGCTTCTTTTAAGCTGAGAAATATGTTCACATTACATTGAATGAATATTATGACCATGAAGGAATATGAAAGAAAAGAGACTTTTAGCTTTAGATGTCTAAATGTGTAATAATTTAATTTTCAATAGTCTAAATTTCACTAATCTTGTAAAATAATTTTTTTTACTCTAGTCGTTATTTCCCTTCCTTACTTTTAACTAGAATTATATTTTATCTGTCTACAATGGCTAATATAAGTTTTTACATTGTTGATAGAATACTGAATATAAGGCTGATATACAACCTGCCATTTGCCACATACTGTGTTATGTAATATTCGTTCCATTTATGGATAAGAAAAACAAGGCTTAGGAAGGTTAAATTCATCACTCAAAGAAGAACATCTGTTTAGTCATGGGGCCAATATTTGAATGCACATATATGCAAATCCAAGCCTCTGATTCATCTTCTCCACTCATAGCTTACATATTGACATCTCTGAGTTATTATTAACTCAATGACATCATGCCCTAAACCGCACATATATCCCCTACCCCATGCTCCTCCTCTGTGTTTTCTATCTGTTAAAGGTAATCCACTATAACATAATCTGGAAGCCTGGAATTCATCTTTAATTCTTCATTGTCCTATTCCACTAATATGCTGTTAGTCAAATATTAGTTCTCCATTCAAACTCTAAAATAGCCCTTCTGTCTTTCCTTTTGTTAGATGTCTTACTGCCACCTGGGTCTGGACCTCTCTATCTCAGAGAACAGCATGTTGAGGGGAGAGATGTGTACTTCCTCAAAATCAGTTATGATCACTGGGCTGAATTAACTCCTCCTCATTCCTAAGGCTGAATGCTGCCTAGCCACACACAAAAGGAGGTCACCAAACTCTTATTTTACACACTGAGTAAGGACTGCTCCCCATATCCAGATTAGACAGCCAACTTCTTGTGTGAGAAGACACTCGATACTACCTGAGGCCTCACCTGGGCCAACCTCAGTAAGCACTTTCCAACTGGATAATAGACTTTGGTCACAATCAGTCCTCTAATAATCACCCACTGCTAAAACAAGTTGACTTCAAAGTTCAACTGGGAATTACAAGGCCAGTGGATTCTGTTCATACTCCTCACACCTAATGGCATGAGATATCATCCAATACAAATTGCCCATTTGCTCTTCCAGTCACTTTCCTTTTACTTCTTCCCATTCCTTGGTGAATCAGTTCCCATTAATCTCCCCCTACATGCTAACGTCTGTTCCAATTTTCCCATTTCTTCATAGCATTCTCATCTTCTAGTGAACATATTCCCCCCATCTCAACTTTTTGAAAAATGTCTTCTTGTCTCATAAATAGATCTCTCCTAAGCCCCATACTTCTCTTGAGGCTCTTGTATCCTTCTTCCTGTCCATGATTAGGGACCTCAGATCACACTCTCAACTTTCTGTCAAAAGCCCTTTCTTCTTAGATACTTCTACCACCCAGGTGTACGCCTCCCAATCTTACAGTATCATTTATAACCTTCTAGGCAGTCTCATATATATTGGTGGATTCAATGCCCAAATTCAAGGTTTTTTCCACTATTAACAATCTTGTATTTATCCTTAGCCACTTTTTTTGTCCATATCTACAATCCATCCAGGGTCTGAGTTTGATTCACCTTGACATATCCAGGAATTGTATTGTCTGTTACATCTCAGCAATCAGCCCCCAAATTCCTGGAATCTCATTATCACCCAGAATAGTCCACATTTAAAATTATAAACAACTCTCTATGCTTTTAGCTCTCTCATTTAAACATTTCCTTTTGCCATTAGGAAAAATCTCAGATCCCTTTGCCTAGCATACAGAGTTCTTAAACATCCTGGCAACCACCTGTCTTTCTAATTGCATCCTCCATAACTTTCCAGATCACCTTGACTACATTCTGTGTTCTAGCCACAATGAGCTGCTCACCACTCCTCAGCTACATGCATATATGCCCTTGTCTATGCACTTTTCTTTTCTTGGAATATTCTTTTCCAAATCTCCATCTGATTGTAACCAACTTACTCTTTAAGACCCATTATGAGTTATTTCCTGCCGTCCCCCCATTCCCTAAGACAATGTTAACCATTCTTTTATTATGTAATTGTAATTGCTCAAGTTATTGTAATGTTTAAAAATAAACTTATATATCAAAATTATAGCAATCCCCATAGAGTAATCAATCTCATTACTCTATGTACTTCTGCTATATTTCTACTTTTACAAGATACAACACAAAATTTAAGAGGATGCCTCGATTCAAATAGTTAAAATATTTTTGTCATATAACATTATATTACAAGGAAATATTTATGAAAACATGGTTGCAAATGGGTAGATAACCTACTTCTTTCTTTTATTTTAAGAATCAATTTTCCTCTTGAAATAAAGTCACTTCCAAGGGAATCCATGCTCACTATAAAACTGTTTGGGATTACCTGTGCAACGAACAATGCGGATTTATTGGCCTGGACTTGTCTTCCGCTGTTTCCAAAACAGTAAGTATATCATTTGTGATTAATAAAACTTCCGTCTCAATAAAAACCTCCTTGGAACTGTATAGTGAGCTGTATTTGGCATAATGAGAAAATCAAGGAGACATTTTATTCTAAAATTGAGATAGCTCAATATAAATCATGACTATTGAAAGTGGGACTGTAAAGCAAAATGTAGAAGTGGCTTTAGAAACAGGCCTCATGCTCAGCTTGTCAACTGGGTCATGAAAAGGTATTGGCATGACCAATCTCAGTTTCTTTTCCTTACGTGACCAGCCAGTTTCTCTGGAATTACTAATTCAAAATGATTTAGATCAGTACTGTCATTTAGAAACAATATAAGTCATGAAATTCTGGCTGAAGTAAAATTATTCAATGTAATTAGTTTACTGACCTTTTATTGCCAAGAAGAAATATATGTCAACTTCAAGAGGATATTTTTCAGAAAAGTAAGCCAAATAGGAGTTCTGATATTCTATCAGAACTAATTGCCATTGAAAAATTAACTGTTGATTTAACCATAAGGATTTGGAATTATTAATGCTTAGAATATTTGATAAAGTCAGTTACATGATTTTCCAGTGTTATTAAGGAAAAAATATTTTAAATAAAACAGTTTAGTGACTTTTCCATGGCAAGACTTGCTTTAGAATCAAATTGTAAAATACATGACTTTCGAAGAAATAGAACCTATATTGTTATTTTAATATTATTATAAAGGATGTTTCTGCCCCTGCTCTTTTAGGAAGATTTGGTAATATAAAAATGTTAGGAAAATTCATCAGCTTTTAGTTCCCACATTTAGTCAATATAAATAAATTATCATCAAAGCAACTGTGATACATTTTTAAAATCATTTTTTATTAGGTTAATTATGACATGCTGTGTGTGTGTTGCTCTTTTATTAGTTTTCATGTTATAGCCAATTTCCACATGTATGAGGACAGGGAATGTATTTTCTTTGTAATTTCTATCATCTAACATGGTATCTCTTATAAATAGGCAATCAGTACAGGTTTGTTTATTAAATTGAATTGGAAAAATATCAATCTCTGTAGGAGATTTAGAATGAAATAAAATTTCAAAAGTCTATAAGAAACAGTTCAGCCCTAAAAGGAATACCAACTGCTGTTAGCAGATATTTCAAAAATCTGATTTGTGGGCTAAAAACTTTCATTACTTTCTCACTAGGAGCAGCTATGCAGGTGCCCTTCCATCTCATGAGTGAGTTTCTTTAAAGTTTCAACTGCAGTATTTGTAAGATCTAGCATGTTTGTAGAATACATTTCCAGTTATTCACTGAAAAAGAATTTAATCCATTTTATGCCTGCTCATCATCCAACATACTACTTTTCACATAACAGGTAATCAAAAAATGTTAAACATATAAAAAGTTCAGAATATTTTTATCTTTCAAGCTACTCTTCAAAGCTTTTTTCTACATGGTTGTGATAGTAAAACACTGCCTCCATGTTGTTTTGTCATCTGTCACTTAACTTCTGGTAAACACTTTATATGCGAGTGATCATGGACAATGGGTATCTTTAAGAAATGCCATCTGGGACTGATACTAAATGGTTTTCCTAAGAGAAAGTGGCAAAATTGTGGATGATGAGACATCACAGAAACACAACTTACTTCAAAGAAAGCTTCAATAAGGATTTGTAAATGTATTTCCAAAAGACTATTTCTTAGGAAAATCAGAAAATCTGCCTCTCTCCTGGGCTAACCAACTTAAAGAAATCCAGATCTTTTAAGACATCAGAAATCCACCATGTGGGCCGTTTGGGGAGATGTAATAACTCCCACTGTGCTCATTGCTTTGAGTTACAGAGATTCTAACCCAATTTATTTGATGGAGATATTTCCAGATCACAGCAAATAAGTCACTTAATTTCATTTTCTTTCATGGAGTGACCCCTGCCCATAAACATTTGGTATTGAATCTATCATTTATTACAACTTGAATTTCTCATACCCAGCCATGTGGAGCTGTAATGAGCATTTATGTCTCTATTTTTTCCAAGATACACACAACCTGAAAATATGCAAAATTAAAGGTTTCTTATCTCTTTGTGGTTTTGAGAAGTGGGTTTCAGAAGAACCAATGAAGATTAAACTCAGATGTATTGGTTATAACTGCATCAAGAGTGTGTACAAATAAAAATAAACAACATTTTCAAGCACACAAATTCACCTTCAACCCTATTAAAAAATATGTTTCAAAAACTAAGGTAATGGGCTTCCCTGGTGGCGCAGTGGTTGAGAGTCCGCCTGCCGATGCAGGGGACACGGGTTCGTGCCCCGGTCCGGGAAGATTCCACATGCTGCAGAGCGGCTGGGCCCGTGAGCCATGGCTGCTGAGCCTGCGCGTCCGGAGCCTGTGCTCTGCAATGGCAGAGGCCACAACAGTGAGAGGCCCATGTACCGCAAAAAAAAAAAAAAAAAAAAAAAGGTAAAATTTTGCCCACGAAAGTTTTATAATCCTCTCCTTTGCAGACAGGACTTATACCATATCTATATTCACAATGCCTCCACACTGCAGTAAGAAAGTGTTATTCTCACCTCAATAATTTCTATGACCTACCTTCCCTACTTAAATTCAAAACAAATAGTATGGTGGTTACTTAGCATTTCTAAATTGTGGTAAACTCCTTCAGTGCAGAGAGTCTCAACCTTTATTGAACAATAGAATCTCCTAGGGAGATTTAAAAATAAACCCATGTGTTCCCAAAGATTCTAATTTAACTGGTCTGTGGAGAGGCCCAAGCATCGGTATTTTCAGAGCTCCTGAGATGCGTTAAAGCCCAGGAAAATCAGAATCTTTTGCGGAATTTCGAAAGAGGCCTAAATAAATCTTAATCTTAATAAAATTTTATTCCTTAGACTGTTGTCTGAGTAGCCAACCCTGATCCCACTATAAATGATCATTTCAGGTATATCCTTAAAATCAAATAATAGAAGCAAGTTGTGGATGAAAATTCCTTATCATTCTTCCATCCTGTACAAGAAAGACCCTCAGAGCTCAACTAATTCAAATATCTCATTTATATGTGAAGATCTTTATGATGAAGGAAGGTTAAAGGGGCTGGCTAGAGGTCACTGGGCTACTTAGGAATAGAACAAGAACCAGAATGAAGGGCTGACTTCTCTCCTCTCCACACGTGTTACTACATCAAGCTGCCTCCCTTCCTGCCCTTATGTGCCATGCCCTGCTCCATGAATGCACTGTGAAAACCTCACTGCCTGTCTCAGCCTTACCTGGGCTCTGCTCTTGGGCATGAAACCTGTTAGACCTATGAGAGTCAGAGTCCCAAAGAGTTTTACAGCATGAGATCTTCTGGAAGTGCTGGTTCCAGAATGCCAAGCCATGGATGTATAGAATCCTATAGCTAAAAATGACAATAATTAATGTATTCAAACCACTTTTTTATTGTCTGAGGAAACAGGGACCCAGAGAGGATAAACCAACCCATCTGTTCGCCTGGTGCCACAGATATTGGTTTGGATTTTCTAGGCATAGGAATTGGTACAATATTGAAATTAAAAGGATCCTTAAGAATAGAAATGCTATATTTATCAGCGTGGTCCTTTTCTAATGACATCTTATTCAAAATCTCCACGTATAAGATCAACGAACAGTCTATGTACATGCTAGATGGGGGGGGCAGGGTGGCATTTGAAATTCTGGAGTCAAATCTATTTGCCATCTCCTCAATACCTTTCTAAAGTCTACTCCCCCAACCACAAAGCCATATGAAAACAAATATAAAACTCTTGAAAACCACTGATTTTGTGCAAGAAGCTCAAAGAACTTAAGGTAATTAAGGCTAGTTAATGAAGACAGGGTACAGATGTCCTGATATAATGTCTGGTGTGCTTTCCGCTATATGAAACTGTTTCTGGCATGTTTTCCTTTTCCATGTTTTTGTTTGTTTGCTTAATTTTAACTGACTTAATAAACCTTTTCACAGCATTGTAAGCACAGGAAGCTCAGCTTGGTGCCCTGTGATGACCTAGATGGGTGGGATGGGGGGGCAGGGTGGTGGGAGGGAGGTCCAAGAGGGAGGGGATATAGGTATACATATAGCTGATTCACTTCATTGTACAGCAGAAACTAAGACAACATTGTAAAGCAATTATACTCCAATAAAAAAAAAAAAAACTACTGATGAACCCCACCAACTTGGGTATTAATAGTTTCCATTTTCATCCTCTTTCCTGTTGAGACCATCAACACTCTTAGATGCATCCTTTTAACATCTTAATTCCACTAATCATCTTCATTATCCTCGTGTTTTCTATTCACAGAAGTCTATGGAAATTTAGTCCCCATCATGCTTAAAATATCGAAAAAGATGTTTAGATATAGTCCCTTAGCTAATATAAATTAGCTAATATCCAACACACAGAGAACCCAAAGAATGGTGCCAAACATCCTTTCCCCCAAATTGCCTTAAAGTATGTATTATATCAACCTCAGTTGGACAGCTAGAAGTTCATTCTCTCTATGCCCTATTGCTTGATACATCATTTCATACACATACTTGAATCAATAGTTCTGACTTCACTCTTCCCTGTATGCCTCAGGGTTAAGGCCAGGGTGACTGTTGATCCAGACTCCATCAAAGGAGAGAAATGAGTCCCTTCATTTTTGTAGGAATCAGCTTAGGTCATTCAGATTTTCAGAGTGAAATATGGCCAAGATGTATAAATATAGTAAGGCCATAAATATAACTCATTACACAACTTAAATGTGAAGAAAAATGCACTTAATATATCACACTTTTCATCAGGAGCTCCTACCCTGTAACTAATGAGAAGAAAACAACTTTCCATCAATTACAAAAAATTAGTCAATTCAATAATTTAAATAGTCCTTTTAGAATTATGCAGTCTCCCTCCTTCGGATAAAATGCTCCGTCACTCAGATAGCTTCCCGACACCTTCTCTTTCTGAGAGGATATCTGGATACAAAGGATCAGAAAAGAAACAGATTATTTGAACTAGTTACTTACATATCCAAATCAAAGGCATTTTTAAGCTGGTGGTTATTTGTTATATCTTGTGTAGCTTGTGATTGGTGCTCTCCCAGCTTCACCAGGGCTTACTGACACTCCCTGGGTGACTTGGGCTCTGGCAGGCACCATAGACCCATATGGGACATCCAGCTGACCTCAACTCAGATGGTTCAATCAGATGCCCTTATTACAGAGGCCCTTTGTCCCCACCATGTGACCCCCTTTATGAAAACACCGTCACACAGATATCTTTAGCTGTGCCTAGGCTCCATCTCTTCTGTACAGAAACCAAAGAAGACCCAATAAAGCTAAACACAGGAGTTCCTTTTGCCTGTAGGTCACATGGCCCTAAGTTTAAGGTCACTCCACAAGTTGGTACAAGAGCAGTTCAATAGGTGACTTTCTTCCAGGATCTGAAGCTTGAGGTACAGAATGGAGTCCCCTCTGCCCTCATCATTAGGCTATGCTCGCTTATCTAACACTCCTCCCCATGGGTCTTCCTATAGGCAGAAGAGGGGGAAATTGGGATACCTCTATCTACCATACTCACTCTGTCCCTCTTTCTCTGTCTTCTGCTTCCCACAATCTCAAATTGCCAGAAAGTTGTGGCTTTTTCTTTTGTCACATTCCCCTTCCAATACGCCACATCCTCCCTCCTCACTCCTGTTGATTCTACTGTGGATAGGAAAATTTTCTGTAAATACTGTGGAGGACATTAACATCTGAGCCCTCCAAACTTAGTGTTAGACCTTCTTTTCACATTCAGGCTGAAACTAGGCCAAAACTTTTCCCAAGAGGATGGACGCTTCAGACCATTTAGGGCAAGGTTACATACTCTGAAAAGTAAAAGAGAAAATCACAGTCATAATTTTCTAATCTTTACCTTATTGAGTTAACTTTTAGCTTGCTAATACTGGTCCCTGCTATCGTTATACCAAAAAACAAAACAAAACAACACAAACTTTCTCCAGATGAGGAGGGAATAGAACAAAGGGGAAAAAAATGACTCAAAATTCATTCTGCTGAAAGAATATTCTTGGGTTGTATAAAGATATCTGCCCAGTAATGTTTAAAATTATAAATGTTTAAAATGTTTAAAATATATCCCTTGGGCAGATACTTTTTAACAATATCTTTAGATATGAAAAATAAAGAAGCCAAGCCTCAGGAAGCCTCAGGATTTAACAACTTTATTTGTTGGATTTTTTTCTTCATATTTTGCATATTTGTCCATTAAATGGCAAGGTAGAATTCTATGTTATTTTCAACGAGGCTTACTTTACTTTAAAGTTCTTTATAAACTTAATTTTATTGACTTTAAGTTCTACAGTTTTAATTTTGTTTGTTTATCAAAGACTGTTCTTACTGATCATGGAACATTTTACCAATAATCTTATTCATATATACAAGCCAGGTGTAGCTTGTTTTTTAATTCCTATAAGCCTCTGTGGACCTGGATGTTACTGAAGCTGTTAAAAGTATCCATGAATTCTTCCTGTCTAAAGTCTGTATTCACTCTCATTTACTATGGTAATTTACAGCATAGTTTTAAATATTCAAAATATGAATAATCTTTCTAGTTATGCTTAAAGAATCATTTCCTCTATGAAGTCCCACAACTATTTTGATTCTATAAGTATAGAGCTCATATCTTTAAAGATGCCCAAGGAATTTAGTCACCCTGGAGAAAAAAAATGTGCTTAAGAAAAAAAAAAAATGTCATGAAGAACCTAGAGGTAAGACAGGAATAAAGACACAGACCTACTAGAGAATGGACTTGAGGATATGGGGAGGGGGAAGGGTAAACTGTGACAAAGCGAAAGAGAGGCATGGACATATATACACTACCAAACGTAAGGTAGATAGCTAGTGGGAAGCAGCCGCATAGCACAGGGAGATCAGCTCGGTGCTTTGTGACTGCCTGGAGGGGTGTGATAGGGAGGGTGGGAGGGAGGGAGACGCAAGAGGGAAGAGATATGGGGATATATGTATATGTATAACTGATTCACTTTGTTATAAAGCAGAAACTAACACACCATTGTAAAGCAATTATACTCCAATAAAGATGTAAAAAAAAAAAAGTTAACATCTTTATTGATTTAAGGGAGTCATAACTCTAAGAATATAAATTTGAGATTCCTGGTCCCATCTTGTAATCAACATTGTTGGAAATTAAGAGTAAATGCTACCTGTTAGAAACCATTGTGGAAACAATTTTCTTAGGTGGAAAATAAATGTAGGTGTCTATGGACATAGCCATGCCTACAGTATATTAGAAATGAACCACTAATCAGTACCTAAGCTTGAGGAATATTGTATTTATCTTCGAGCTACTGAATGAAGCTACTGAAATAGCTGATTATGTTTATACTCCAAAAGAAATTTATAGATAATAATAGCTTCCCTTTTGAAGTGACTTCTGCCTGTCCGTATGTGTTGTCTTTTGCAGCAAATCAATTCTCAGGTCTATGTTATTCAGCACAACATTACAGAGTGAGCCTCCCAAAGAACTGATAGCTCCAGGAGTGTGGGATGTCAGTCAGCCATCCCCAGTGACCCTGCAGGTAAGTGTCAGGCTATGAGATTAAAGTACACACAGCAAGTATTGGTTGATAAGTAGCTTGTTGTCAATTACAGAAACAATTTTCTTCCAGGATCACACATTTTAATAGTCTTCTCTTTCTCCAGCCTTCTGGGATTTGTAAAATTTCTATTGCTTTTATTTTGCATTCAGTATTCTCAAAGCACTTTTCTCTCAGCTTACATAATAGCAATTTCAAGCCATTCTGTGTCAAACACAATCATGAAGGAGAGGGATGGAGTGTTGCCATGAATCTACTCATTATACGTATTCATTTTTCTTTCCTTTGTCTAAAAACAGTCATTAGTATATATTATTAACTTGGTACCTTATTCACACCTGCCTCTTCATTGTGTCATGTTTCCTTAAAATTTCTTTTGTTGTGTGTTTCCTAAATGACTAGCAATTACCTGGATAGTGGGGGAGAAACTGCAAACAAAAATCCTTTCTTTTTCCTTAAAGGCTCTCTACTTTCTGCTATTTGTAATCATGAATGAAAGGTGGTTAATGATTCCAGGCTTTGGTCCTTTCTACTCAGAGAATTTTTTTCTCACTTTCCTCATTTTTTCATGATTATAAGTGATAAGATTCATCAGATACCTGAAGCATGGACGCTCCCATACATGGCAATGCAGGGAATATGGACTTTCCATCTCCATCGGGAAAACTGGGCAGCAGTCTGTAGAACAGGATTTTTCAACCTCGGTACTATTGACATTTTAGACAGGATAAGTTTGTTGTGGGGACTGTCCTGTGCATTGTAGGATACTTGGCAGCGTCCTTGACTTTTACCCACTAGGTGCCAGTAGCACTTCCCCAGTTCTGACAATCAAAAATGCCTCGAAATATTGTTAGATGATCTCTAGGGGTAAATTTGCCTTCAGTGAGGATCACTACACTAGAGGGAACTAGTGCAGTCCGGAGGTATGTAAAATTGCCAGGTTTGGATTGAGGGGTGTGAGGGACAAAGTTTAGCAAAATGGACAGCAAGATGTTAAAAAACGGTAAAGAAAAATAATACTAATAAAAATGTGGCTTTCACTCTGAAGGATGGAGGATGTCCCCCCCTGCCACCAGACAGTAGCCAAAGATCCACTTCGAATCCATGGACATGATGATAAAAAAGAGTGGTTGTTCAGGGTGGATCTCGGCACAACATCCTAACACTCAGCATTGATGGCTTACTGATTAGCAGATGTTTCCTCGTAACAGGATAGCTACTTTCTTTGAGAGGATGAGTGCATTTCTTATCAGACTATTTCTTGCCAGATCCAAACCACCTGAGCTTAACCAAAATCTTCCAAGTCTGACCATTGCCAGAGCTTTGTGGATATGAATTTATGAGTATCTGGGCCTTTAGCAGCAGCGGTGGGGTGGAGGATGTAAGGGAGACTATCAGATGAGACTCGCCTTGATTCTTCTCAAATGAAGGGAACAGCTGCTTTAGGAACACAGTTCTTGGAAGTGGAATCTGAAGCGAAGTTTCGAGCATTCGACAGCAGCATAGATTTCAAAGCAGAGACCTGGAGCCATGACAGAATTTATCTTACAAAAAAAGGAGAGAGGGCATGGAAATAATTCAACAGTATGCAAAAACGTTAAATTATCTGCTTTTACAAAATAATTTCAAATGGTATAGACATAGAGGGAAATGTCTCAGATGTTTTTACTTGATGATGAAATATACAAAATAAGAGTTACTAAGGTATTAAAGTTAAAAGCCTTAATAGCCAGCACCACTCTAATTACACACACCTAAATTTAGAGCAGAATTTTCAAGCTAAAGATTATGAGATGGTAAGGAAATTAGAAGCAAGTTCTGCCACCAGTGTTGTTAAGGAGTCAGGGTGGGTCTCAAGGGAAAGAGGTCAGGCTGAGAGTTAGGGAATCTGGAGTCTAGTCTTAGCTCTTTAATAGTAAACTTTATGACTGTGAACAAGTCATTTAACCTTCTATTTTCACCTGCGTGCAATGAAAGAATTGTACAGTACTATGCCTGTCCAACTTCTTTCAGGTCTGTACTTTGTTGACTGTCTATATTAGATGGACAATTACTGCCACACTGTTGCCACCACAGTATGATAAGGGATATATGTTACAGAACTTGATTCCTTCAAGTCAGTCTTGTTTTTTTCATGCTGTGCTGCTGACTGGAAGCAGTGGATAGAATGAAGTAGATCTGAGTTCAGACATGGAGACAAATTGTTATATGATTCCATCAGCCTGTACCTCCCTCAACTTCCTCCCTCTCTCTGTATACAATCTAGTAGAGTGACTCATAATTCAAGCCCTAAGAACAGAGCTGTTTTAGTTAATGTTGCTCTTGTTTTGTTTTATGTTTCTATACTTACTCATCTTCTCATTCATGTCTAAATTCACTATATTTTGGTTTATTTGTCCTTACCACATTGAACTATTGTCAGGCAACCCGCTAATTTCTAGTTGCCAAATCCAGTGCTTGTTCTCGTTCCTCTTCATACTAGCGCTCTCTCTGCAATTTTTGGTACTGTCTCTTCCCCATTACAGAACAACTCTTCCCCTCTGTTGCTGGCCTAGGTTTCTCTTCACACTCTCTCTGGTTATTCTTTCTCTGTCTTCTTTCCGGACTCCTCTTCTTCTGCTAGTCCCCACTGTTGCCAGTTCTCAGGGATTCCATCTGCTGCCCATTGCTATTCTCGGTAGATATATTCTCCCTGAGAGAATTTCATTAAAGCTTTATTGAGATATACTTCACATACCATACAATCCTCCCATTTGAAGTGTGCAATTCAGTGTTTTCTAGTATTTTCACAGATGTGTGCGACTAATCTCACCAACATCAACTTTAGAGCATTTTCATTTTTATAAAGAAATCTCATAACTTTTAGCTATCACTTCCTAGTCCCAACTCTAAGCAACTACTAATGTACTTTCTGTCTCTGTAGATTCACCTATTCTGCCCATTTCATATAAATGGAATCATACAATGTGTGTTCTTTTGTGGCTAGATTCTTTTACTTAGCATAATGTTTCAAAATTCATCCACTTTGTAGCATATATCAGTACTTATTTCTTTTTTATTGTTGAATAATATTACATTATATAGCTATACCACACTTTATCCACTTATTAGTTGATATGCATTTAGATTGTTTCCACCTTTTGGCTATTAAGAATAGTGCTGCTATGAACATTCATATACAAATTTGTGTGTGAACATATGTTTTCATTTATCTTGGGTGTATACCCAGCAGTGGAATAACTGGGTCTCATTCATTCCTAAGGTTTTATTTACAGTATCTTGCAGGTTCACTTCTAAGTCTGTATCTTTAATTCAGACTCCTTTACACCACAAGCTTCAGACAAATATAAGCACGTGCCTGCCTAGCTTCTCACCTGGATATTCTGTAGACAGCTTCAAAGACAACACATCCCAAACTGAGCTCACCATCCTCTCAGAATGCTTTCACTCCCTGAATTATTTATGTCTGTTCATGCCCCCAGATACACTGAGCTGTTTCACTTGTCTCCTTCTTTCTCGCTACTCATATTCAGTCCACACTATATTTTGCCAACTTATCTCCATGTGTTCCTCATGTCTGTCCTCACAATTCCCTACCTCATCTGCCCTAGTTCAACAGTTCCCTCCTAGGTTACAACGGTTTAGATGTTTTTTTTCTTGGCTTTAGTTTTGTTATTCTCTAATGCAAAATCCACAAGTGTGATCCTTCTAAAATGTAAATCTGAACCTGCCACTCTCCCATTTATACTCTTCAAGAACTCAGCGCTACCTAGAGAATTAAGGATGAGCAATACAACGTAGCCCCCTCCACTGTTTCCCTTGCCACTCCTTGACTGACAGTGTTGCTCCAGCAACACTGAAAGAGTTATAGTTTCTGACATGCATTGTCCTGCTTTTACCTTATGTGCATTTATGAATACTATTCCCTGCCTGCAATGTATCTACCGTCTTCCCTTCACCATCTACTGCCCATCTCTCAGGCTTAGTGTCTGTAATTGTTATTCACCTTTTAGGATCCATGGACCCTTCTCTAGGGATCTCTTACCCCCTCCTCTCTTTCCACTCCAAGCAGGGTTAAGTGCCCTTCCTCTATATTCACATAGTAGCCAATAAGATTTTTATCAACACATTTACATTATATTTCTTTCTCAAGAACTTCTTTCCCATTGACTTCTTGATTTTTGACGACATTGACAGTGTTTTATCCCCAGAATCTAGCATAGCACCAGGAATACAGTATTTGTAAATTACTGATATGTGTCCATACCTCTGATCACTACAATAATCAAACCTACAGATATTTCTAAACTTAGCACTTTGGTCCGCTTGTTGGAATTCTGATAGATACCACTATGTTCAGTTTCTCTTCTTGTGTGAGCAGTCCTTCTCTTTAAACCATAGTTCTTACCTCCTCATTCATGCAAAGTATTTTCCTTTACCTAACATTTCATTACCTGTTTATCCTTAATTATCAGCAATGTCATGGGGAGGCAACAGTCTTATTATTGGTACCTGGTCCTTAGACCACAGTACAGTTTGTGCCCTAATGTAGCATAGGTTCTTTTCTCTTCACTGCTGAACCACTATATGGGTCCCTCTTTTACAGCTCCTTCCTTGAGACTCACAGCAATTGCCATCTAGTTAGTAGGCATCCTTCCCTCCCTTGAACTGCATAGAACTTATGGTCCAATATTTGTGTGCTTTATAATATCCAAACTACATCTACAGTCAGGCTGCATTTCTTTGAACAAACTGAAAGAATCATGGGGGTATGAGCAAGCCCATGGACACCTTATTGGCATGGTTGTGGATCATGGACACTAGGGACATTCACAGCAGCTCCTTCAAGGAATTCCAAGACATGAAGTCATAGTAGAAACCGTGGTGGCCAAGTATAAGTGGAAAAGGATGAGGGAGGAAGTAAAGTAAGATGGATAAGTGGAACACAAGAAGCTAATATTCAAATGTTTAAGGAGGTATGAATTAGAAGTTTGGATGACTGGGTCTGAGTATTTGCCTGTACCCCAGAAGAAAGAGCCTCATAATTGTTTTTGCTTGAAAACAGGAGTATATCTTCAACACTTGACAAATAGGTGTCATGGCACATGCAGTGCACACATTAAAAGAATGCTCCTGGAGCATTCCATTAAAAAAAAAGACTGAGGCCAAGGCCAGACTTAGTGGCTTACGACCATGGAAGGAGAGGAGTCACATGTTTGCCATTAATAACTTGAAACACAGCTTTGGGGTGCTATATACATATTGTACCCTATTTTAATTGTTAATGTTTACCTTTTCCTCCTCCATAATGCATAGTACTCAAAAGAATTCTAGGGCAGCAGTTGGCAAACTGTGAGGGCAGGAGGAGCCGTGAGCCCGAGCTGCACGCAGCGGCCGCACGGCAAAACAGAAAGCCAGCTGAACAGAGTGCTCAGAGTGGCACTGGCAGCCATGACGCAGGCAACCCGGGCAACCCGGGCGGCCCAAACAGACTCACAGGAAGCCTTCGTGACTCCAACTGCTCTGCGGACTGCAAGCTGTGGCGGCACAGCCCCGCTACAGCAGTCGCAGTCTCTGTGGGGCTAGCAGAAGCCATTTTGCTTTTTCACTTACCACCTCATTTCTACTCTAGTGGCTTGGACAACAAGCCGTGTGACTGACAGGGTCTTGGTGCTCTGGCTAGGTGTCAAGCCTGTGCCTCTAGGTGTGAGAGCCAAGTTCAGGACACTGGTCCACCAGAGACCTCTGCCCTCCACTTAATATCAAATAGCGAGATCTCCATCTCAACGCTAAGACCCAGCTCCACTCAACGACCAGCAAGCTACAGTGATGAACACCCCAAACAACTAGCAAGACAGGAGCACAACCCCATCCACTAGCAGAGAGGCTGCCTAAAATCATAATAAGGTCACAGACACCCCAAAACACACCACTGTATGTGGTCCTGCCCACCAGAAACACAAGATCCAGCCTTATCCATCAGAACACAAGCACCACTCCCCTCCAACAGGAGGCCTACACAACCCGCGGAGGGGCCACAACAGTGAGAGGCCCGCATACCAAAAAAAAAAAAAAACTACAATGAGGTGTCGCCTCCCACGAGTCAGAATGGCCATCATCAAAAAAATCTACAAACAATAAATGCTGGAGAGGGTATGGAGAAAAAGGAACCCTCTTGCACTGTTGGTGGGAATGTTAATTGATATAGCCACTATGGTGAACAGTATGGAGTTTCCTTAAAAAACTAAAAATAGAACTACCATACGACCCAGCAATCCCACTCCTGGGCATATGCCCTGAGAAAACCATAATTCAAAAAGAGTCATGCCAAATGTAAAATAGATAGCTAGTGGGAAGTAGCCACATAGCACAGGGGGATCAGCTCAGTGATTTGTGACCACCTAGAGGGGTAGGATAGGGAAGATGGCAGGGAGATGCAAGAGGGAGTATATATGGGGATATATGTATATGTATAGCTGATTCACTTTGTTATAAAGCAGAAAGTAACACACCATTGTAAAACAATTATACTCCAATAAAGATGTTAAAAAAAAAAAAGAGTTCTTGGGCAAATATGTTAACACATACTTTGGGTGATTTTCTCTTTTGTGAAAAATTAGAACAAGAAACAATTGGGGAAAATCCTAATTTTTTCTATAAGTGGCTCAAGAATCAGTAACTGTTTGCCTTCATAATATATGAAGATACGCAGTTTGTATAGGGCCTCATTCATGTATCAGAAATGAAAAAAAATTTTCATAATTGAAATATATCAAAGAATTTATTATGGATTGTTCACAGGGAGCTTCCGTATTCTCATCTACTACTGTATTCTCATCTACTATCTTTAGTTTCTCATCTACCCTGCCTTTACTTAGGACCAACATAAAATTGAATTAGCTCATTAAATACTATTTCTAGTATTTTTGTTTTATGTGTTTAAAACATTTGGATACATAAAGAGTAAAGTGTAACATGCTAATACTGCAGGCACTTCTCTCCAAGGCATCAAGATTACTCTTTCTGTCAAGAGGCAAAATTTACTATAATATTGCTTTGGTTTAGCATTTCTGTTAGTTCTTTTTTCATGTTGGAATAGTAACTGATAATTATAACAAATTTATACCAAAAACAAATTTTGCAACAAATTGCAAAGGTTACAGAATAAAATTGCTGACTTTTTCGAATAAGAGCCCAAATAGATTAAACTGCATCTCACACCCTACCTTATAATACTCTTCCATTTTCTCTGAGATCACAACCTAAGGTAGTTCAGCAGAGAAAAATAAATTCTTTAGATTTTCTAATATGAAAATGAAAAATAATATATGATACTCTTAAGCAAATATTTTGGGCAGTAAAATATTTAGTTCATTTACATACTTGGAAACTGTATTTTTTGTTAACTATTATTTTATTTACTAGAATCAGATTATCACTTAAACATGGTTTAGTGGAAAGCATGTTGAGCCAGGAAAAAAGAAGGCCTGCATTCTAGCTCTGTCTATAAAGCTGAACTATAGAGCCACAGCAAAAATATTCTATTTGGTTTTATACTAGTGAAACAGATCTTTACCAGAGAAGATTTCACTGTCATGTCCACAGAGTGGTTCACAGATTTCAGATAGTAGAGACCAACATAAAGTAACTCTTTTTATTTTATCAAGTGATTATATGAAAAAAGTATAATTACCATCTATAATTTTCATCATTTAATAATAGAAAGACATTTTAGTAATGAAAATTGGAAAGGATGTAATTTCAGCACTAAACAAAAATGTAACATTTAACTGTATGAAAAGTTCATATGTTATTATTTTTCTCATTTTTTCTAAGATAATGTTACAGTCTACTAATTTATATACCATTTATATAAATAATTGAGGATTTGCCAAATATCATGTATATTTAAACACCAAGTCTAAACTGTAATGATTCTTTTAAAATTATTTTTAAATAATAAAAGCACAGAAAATATAGGGTATTTATTTTACTTTAGTTTCTGTAAACCTAAGATAGAAATCATTAAATTAAAAATGCATTTTTCAGGCGTTTGATACATGGCAAACCATTTTATTTATTTCAGATTGATTTTCCAGCTACTGAGTGGGAATATATGAAATTTGATTCTGAAGAGAATAGAAGTGATCTTGAAGAACCACCAAAAGAATGTTTAAAACATATTGCCAGACTTTCACAGAAACAGTCTCCCTTACTGTAAGTGACCCAGTTCTTGGGAGGGAATTTTGCCTGCTGTTCATGATACCAGCAGTCATACTAGAAGCACTCATATCTTTCAAGAGTGAACCTTCCTTCCCACATAACTCCTTTCATTTCCTAAGATCATGCCTGTTGGATGATCAACTGATGTTTAGGAAATAAATTAGTAATTTTTCATGGTTTTTTAAAGATTTTTTTTCCCCTTGGGGCATTTAATAACTTTGGTCAAAGGAAAAATAAAAGGATTGGAGATCATTCAGTTCAAAACAACAAAGCAGAGACTGATACAGATCAGCATTTAACAGTGATAAAACATTGCTCAGTCCTTCAAGTAGGACAGGAAAATGTCCTACTAAACAGGAAAATGCAAAATTTAATTATAATGGCAGATTAAAAAAGAACAGAAATAAATCATGTTTTAATAGCACTAAATTAGTAACTAAGGAATACTTAAATTTTGTCAAACAGTAATTCTCTGGGGAAAAAAAAAGACCAGGAAGAATTATAAGAGAATACTAATTCTCTCTTTGTAATTACTATTTGACTTTAATATTTGGTAATATCTAAGCCACAGCTTATGGTGCTCATTACTAACATGGAAAAAGCATAAAACTAAGAAAGCAACTCTTTGTGTGTGTGTGTGTGTGTGTGTATACACACACATATATTTGTGGTGATGTACATATATAACATAATAAAGCATTTTATTCCAAGAATAAGAAATTATTTAAAGGTTTTGAATGGGGTAGTCATGTGATCTGAATAATCTTTTTGACTGATTCTTTTGACTACAAGTTGAAGAATGGATTGGAGAGGAAGTAAGTGGAAGCAAGCAGTACAGCAGAGTAGCTTATGTAATATTTTAGGCAGGAGGTCGTGGTCACTAGAACTAGGGAGATGGCAGTGGACACTGGTAATAATGGCTAGATTTGGAGCATATTTGGAAGTTGAGAAGACATGACTTCATGATTATTAGTAAATAGGAGTTAAGTCAATTAAAAAACCAAAGAATCAAGTTAAGTCAATGGAGAATCTAAGGTTTTTGAATTGATGAACTGGGCAGATGTTAGAGTCATTTTCGGGAGGAGGAATAAGTTTGAGACCGTCCAGACTGAGGTGTTGAATGTGATCAAGCATTCCATTTTGGGTAATCTTGTTACTCCCCTGATCTCTAATTTCAACTTGTCTTACTCTTTTCCTCATTCACTTCAAGCCAGTGACATCAGTTTGCTTCACATACTTCACATGTGCTATATTCCCTCTCCCATCTCAAGGCCTTCTTATTTGGTGTTTCCTCTACATGAAATACTCCTTCCTAGTTCTTCACATGACTGAATCATCTCACCCTATAGGTCTTCACTTAATTGTGATCTTCTCAAAGAGCCCTTCTTTGATCACCCTACCTAATGGAGTTTTACTCTCTTTACAATCTATCTTATTACCTTTTATGTTATCACACTTAGCAGAATCTATTATCATCTTGTTTATTAATGTGTTTTTTTCTTATTAGCTTGTAAGAACTGAGAGAACAAGGAACCTATCTGTCTTGTTTATCACTACATTTCCAGTGTTCTACACTGTGCCTGATAAATAATATGTGTAAAATAAATGTTATAATGAATAAAGTTCCTTTGCATAGAATTTGGTATAAAAATTACCTTAAGGATTGAAAATGTTGAAAGACTCTTATACTAGACTATTGTCATCTTAACTAGGTGAAGCATCTTTTTATAATCCTTAATCAAAAATATAAAACCTTGCATTTAACAAGTGTGTCACATATCAGAGGCTAATATATTTGTAATGAGAGATTTTTAATATATAAAAAGATACTATACTTTGAAATTTTAAAATATTCAAACAAAAAATATCAAAACCAACAAATAATAAGCACAGTAACTGCCTTTAAATATTAAAGGTTTGTGTTTTTAAATTAACCCCAGTGATTTCTAACTGGTTTTATACTTCAGTTTCTATTTAAGAGAATAACTTATACTATAAAATAAGTAACATTTTCCTCTGTTTCACCCACTCAAATACAATTATCAGTGCTCAGTAGAGTACAATTTCATTCTGGACTGTGAAAACAGATGGAGACCAGCCTTCAATGTGATAAAACTTGTGTTAGAAACAGATTAAATTCATTTTCAAAATACCACATTTTATCATTTAGTTGGTGACTTAATTATTCCTTCTTTCAAATTGATCAAATGTAATCAGTCAGAAAGTTCAGACTCAATGAAATTCAATGAAAATGTACCTATAATATTTGTAAAAATAAGAAAAACACCTTCTTGATGACAGCTAGAAGAATATGTCAGATATAAAGAAAATCCTGGAACATAAGGTATAAAATAATTTGGTATGAAAGAAATTATGCTTCCACTTCTAGCCATGAAGATTACCTATTACTAGACTAATCCTCCTGAATTAAAGAAATATGACACAAGAAAAATACATATGAAACAACTGCTCTCAGAAATTGAACAGACAGGCCTTAAGGTGAACGCATGAATAAAGTGACTTTCAGCCCAGAGGCATTTTCTGTACCATAGATCTGGGAGGTATAATTAAAGAAAAGCATGCAGGTCTTGCTGAGATTTAAAAAAAAAAAAAAAAAAAAGGCAGAGATCGGAGTTTATTGATGCTGAGGCAGCTGGAATTTACAGAGCATAATAGTAGAGAAAAGGAAGATGTACAGGTTAGGAGCTACAGAAATATTGGTGTCCCCTTATATATTTAGCTGAGTACTAAGCTACTCTTGAGCAGATAGAGATTTCGTAGGGATTGCTAAAGAACTGCTACAGGGAGATGTGAAATAAATGTAGATTCTAGAGGTTGCCCAATGCTGGGAGACATAGAAATTCTGACTAGTAATAATAGAGAAAGATCACCACACCCCAGCATTCAATAAAGAAATCAGAAAGATGCATATTAGGAGTAAGTGTGCTCTAGCCCAAGATTAAGGAGTATACTTGGCCTAGCCTAACAAATCGTAAAAACAAGCCTCAAAAGGATCAAGCTGCTCTGCTAGTAATTAAACAGACTACTAAAAAAATTGAAACAGTCAACACTCAAAAGATAGCAAAATGCAGAATTTTAAAGGTTTAGTGTACAATCAATAATTGCTAGACATAGGAAGAGTTAGGAATATATAACCATAGTCCAAGATGGGGCAAAGCAGTTTACAGAAACAGATCCAAATATTTTAAAACTATTATAAAGGCTTTTATGGATTTAAATAAAAAGATATGTATGAGTGAACAAATGAAGTCTCAGTAGAAAAATGGAAATTTAGGAACTGAAAAACAATATCTAAATTTTTAAAAAAATCACTGGAAAAGCTTAATAGATTGCATAATGAAGAAAAAAAGAACAGTGATCTTGAAGAATGGGCCATAGAAATTATCCATGTTGAAGTACAGAAAGAACAAAACCTGAAAATAGTGATAGAGCCTTGTGACCTGTGGGGCAATATCAGGTAATATAATATGTGTGTATTGGACACACAGGAGAGAAGAGAGGGATTGAAGTAAAAAAAGAAAAGAAAACTGAAAGAAATAATAGCCAAAATTTTACAAGTTTGATTTAAAAAAAAATCAACCCACAGATATAGGAAACTTAGCAAATCCCAAGCATGTGTGCATGTGTACACACACACACCACCTTAGCACATTATAGTCAAATTTCTGAAAACTAAAGATAAAGATACATTTTTTTCTAACACATTAGAGAAAATCAACAAATTGCATCCATGGGAACAACTATAATTCAGCAGATTACTCATTAACTGAGGATTTCTCATTAGAAGCAATGGAAGCCAAAAGACATTATAACATTATCTTGCATTTTGAAAGGGGAAAAGAAAATACATCAACTTAAAATTCTATAACCAGTAAAATTACATTTCAAAAATTAAGGCAAAATTAAAACATTTTCAACTAAGCACAGCTGAGTTATAAGCTGTGTTATAAGCTCATCTGTACTATAAGAAATCTTAAAGAAAATATTTCATGCTAAAAGAAGTGATAAGTAGATGGACACTCAAATCTACAAGAATAAATGAAAAGCACCACAAAGGGAAAATAGGTAGATAATAAAAATACACATTTTTTACACATTTATTAATTTATTAAAAAAAAATTGTTTAAACAAAAATCACAATATACAGCTGGGTTTGCAATATATGAAAGTAAAATGTGTAACAACTACAATAAGAATGAGAAATAGAAAAATAAAAGCATAGTTTTCTAAGATTCTTATACATAAGGTAGTGTAACATTAATTGTGGTTGGCTGTGATATGCTAAAAAAGAATATTATAATCTTGAAAGAAAGCACACCCCCCAAATTTTAAGAGTACATTTAAAAGTCAAAAAGATGACAAAAATTAAATTTAAAAAAATCCAAAAGAAAGCAGGAGAAAAGGAGAAATAGTTTGGACAAAAAAATTAATAACAATATGGTTGATTTAAACCCAATCATGTCAATATTCTGTTAAATATAAATTAATAAAAACCCCAATTAAAAGGCAGAAATTGTTAGCCTACATTACAAAAGTAATATCCAACTTTATGCTATTTACAGGCATATATTTTAAAATAAGAATTCAGCTTGATTATAGTTAAAAGAATGGAAAAAGATATACAAGGAAAATCATACCATCTTGAAATATTTGGGAAAAAAACTTGACAAAATTCAACACCCATTCATGATAAAAACTCACAAAACAAGGAGTTTTGTTTCAGACTTCCTCAGACTTCAACTCCTGAGTTGAATCTAGATCTATGGAAAAATCTAGAGTTAACGTCATATTAAGTGGTACAAGAATGAGTGCTTTCCCCCTGAACTGGGAACAAAGCAAAGATATTTGTCTAAATATTTCTCTTCAGCGTTGTACTGGAAATCCTAGCCAGTGCACTATGGCAAGATAAATAAGTGTTAAATGTATAGAAGTTGGAAAGAAAGAAATAAAACTTACTCTATTTTCATATGAGTGATTATGTAAGATCATAGCATTTGAGGTTAATGTGCAAAATGCAATTGTATTCCAGTAAAAAATAGAAAATAAATTTTATTTTTCAAAATTCTATTTACAATATCAACATCTCTACATTAAAAAGTACAAAACTTTGCTAAGAGAAATTAAAGAAAATCTCAGTAAATGGAAGGATATATCATGTCATTGATTAAAATAACCCCTTTTGTTAAGATGACTGTTCTAGTCCTCCCCAAATTAGTGATAAAGATACAATTATACACCCGTTAGAATGTATAATTTCTTTTCAAATGATCAGTATGCTTTTAATTACACTCTGAAGACTTGGATAATTTTTTTTTTTTTTTTTTGCGGTACGCGGGCCTCTCACTGTTGTGGCCTCTCCCGTTGCGGAGCACAGGCTCCGGACGTGCAGGCTCAGCGGCCATCTCCGCGGCATGTGGGATCTTCCCGGACCGGGGCACGAACCCGTGTCCCCTGCATCAGCAGGCGGACTCTCCACCACTGCGCCAGCAGGGAAGGCCGGATAATATTTTTAAATGGGCAAAAATCAAGTGTGGGCAAGAATGCCGTACAGTTGGTTCTATCATACCATACACATGATAATGTGAAATATTACAACTACTTCAGAGAATAGTTTGACAGTTTCTTCAAAAGTTAAACAAAAATATGACATACAACCAAGTCATTCCCCTCCTTGGTACTTTCTAGGGGAAATGAAAAATACACCCATATGAACACATGCACACAAATGTTCTCAGCAGCTTTATTCATAATATCCCCAAATAGGAAACAACACAGATGTCCATCAAATATGAAAAAGGATAAGCAAATTGTGATATATTCATACAAAGGAAGAGTACTCATTAATTAAAAGGAATAATCTACTGATACACTCAACAATATGGGTAATTTAAAAAACATTATACTGAGTGAAAGAAGCTATAACTAAAAGAATATTTACTCTATGATTCCATTTATATGAAGTTTGAAAATAGGTAATAGTCTAAAGTGAAAGAAATCATACTAGTGCTTGCCTTTGGTGGCATAAGAAAACTTTTATATCTTGAAAAGTGTGTAGTTTTTACTTGATGTATGCATTTGGCAAAATTTAATTAACTGAAGCCATGCATTCTCTTTTATGTAAATTATGCTTCAATAAAAGAAGGTAAAAGAGAAAAAATCACTGTTCAATATTGAAAAAATGAATTCAGTTAGGAAAATATAACTTGTTTTAATACCATAGAAATAAGTTGGTTATGAAATTTTTTCTTCCAGGGCTTTCTGGTGAGGAAGGTAGTGACAAAACAGAAAAGGAGACTAAATGTACCTCAAAAATCATCCTCTATAATCCAGTTCTTTCACTTTGCAGATGAAGATGGCTTCAGAAGAAATTGTACAGAAATATCGATATTTAAAGTCTTTCAATAATTCTTATTATCCTGCTTGGGAGTTTTAGTTAATTTAAGCTGAGCAACAGAGTATCAGTTTGGAGGAGACAGTGTTGAAAAGCTGTCATTGTCATGTGAGAAATGCTGTCCTTCAGCTGAACCATGATCTTGAATGCTTTTGCTGGAGTGTAAGCAAAACACGGTAAACTGTCAGTGAATCAATGGCCCTTGTCCTAGACTTAAATCTTCTGTTGGGACCACTCTCCAGAGGGGAACACTTGAGCACTTAAGGAAGTCCTATTCACTGGCATTTTAACCCCAAACTTCCAGCAAACTCTGAGAATTTAAAGCCAGAATCCAGGGATAAATTGAGATCTTTGTTTTTGGAGTTCAGAGCAAAAAGTTTTCTGAACTCTGATTGAAACTTACTTTGAAATGAAGGACTATGGTCTTCAAAATAGGCCATTTCTCTACAGGCCCACTTGGGTCTAAGTTAATTTATAAAGAATGTAAGAAAGTAAATGGTTAAGCAACTTTGTTCTAAGTAGTACATGTTGCAGGATTCAGATAAACTTGGTCTGCCTTAAAAGAGACAGAGACTCTGCCAACCAAAATGACTTTTTTAAAAAAGTGGCAAGCATAAGAGTGAGGAAAAATAAATGTGAATTATCTGAACTGAAGTTTATTTCATTTTACTTTTCTATAAAAAAATAAATTTAGTGGGAAATAAGCTGATAAAATAACCTATCAAACTGTCCCCAAAAGATAAAGGACTTGTTTTCCAAAATAAACTAAAATAAAAGTCCAAGAACTAGACTAACATTTTGTACTGTGTATTTACAGCAAACATTTGTTAGTGTAGCAAACTCCAGTAAATTATAGTTTCCAATCTGGTTTTGCAGACTCTCTGAGGAAAAGAGAAGATACTTATGGTTTTATCGCCTCTACTGCAATAATGAAAATTGCTCCCTTCCTTTGGTCCTGGGTAGTGCCCCTGGATGGGATGAAACAACTGTTTCGGAAATGCATACCATTTTGAGAAGATGGAAATTTTCTCACCCTTTGGAGGCACTTGGACTTTTGACTTCCAGGTAAGAATTGCATGACAGGCATGACATTACTAATGAGAAAAATTTGAAGAGAAAAGCTGTAGGACTATATGATTAATTCAATAGCAATTCCGTTTGTTTCCAATTTCAGTAGCTATGAATATTAAATTTAGATAAATGTAAACTATGAATAGAAATTTTAAACAAATCTAAACTATAATTGTGTCTTCTGTACTAAACTTGAAGTATAATTAATGGCCATAGTATCCTAAATGGAGAGTCTACTTGCTGTTACAGAAATAACAACAAAAAAAATTGAATAGGGAAAAATAAAATTCTCTACTTGTCCCCCTCTCAAAAGAAAAGAGTTCTTAAAAATTAAAACAATATCTTTTACTACTGAAACATGCAAAGCCTGGCAAAATACCCTGCTTACAGTAGGTTTTCAGTTAATAAGCCAATGATGATGACAAGAATAAAAGGAAAAGCTATCCCTTAAATATTCTTCAGATCTTCCCTCAGAATAAAATGCATGGGGGTAGGGGATCTGGTGGGGCAATGACGTCATCTTCTAGTTAAGGAGAAGCATGAGGGAACAAGTGTGGTGTCTGGCTCTGGTTTGGGGAAGCAGCTCTTCCTTGGCTTCTGTTTCATATTCAAAGCCAAGAAGAGATATTTTAAGTCTGTCTTGATGGCATCAGCTCACTGATGCCATGAAGAAAGTCTGCAATCTCTAGAGTCAGAGAAGAATTGTGACACCCAGTTCTATTCTAAATTCTCTCTCAAGATCCTGATGAAGGAGAAAGGAGGGAGAGAAAGTGACACAAAGGACTTTTCAAAGGATTAATTTAGGTTTATTTTAAAATGTGTGTCTTTTATAAAACTTCTAGCATGGGAAAGGGAGAGAAAGTGTTTTCTTTTTCTATTATTTGTAAGCGTTAATAGGTTCCGCTCAATCTTCCAAGCTCAAAATTTACAAATTATCGGGCTTCCCTGGTGGCGCGGTGGTTGAGAGTCCGCCTGTCGATGCAGGGGACACGGGTTCGTGCCCCGATCCGGGAGGATCCCACATGCCACGGAGCGGCTAGGCCCGTGAGCCATGGCCGCTGAGCCTGCGCGTCCAGAGCCTGTGCTCCGCAACGGGAGAGGCCACAACAGTGAGAGGCCCGCGTACCACAAAAAGAAAAAAAAAAAAAGTTACAAATTATCTTAAAATCCTACATGTTTTGTGCCTCTCACATTGAATGTTTTTTTCAGTTTTCTGATGTCTTCCATTAATTACTGCATGCCCAGATGCCCACTCTTCCTTGATAGATGATAGATAGATAGATAGATAGATAGATAGATAGATAGATAGATAGACAGATAGATAGATATAGAATTTTTCTTTTAGTTGAGCTTGCAGCTTTTCCCCTTTTTATAAGGCTTCTTATAGGTGGATCCTTCCTTGATCGTGCCAAGTAAAATTGATCACATCTTCCTAGTACAGTGCTTTGTTTCTTTATGAATTACATTTTATTGCAATGTGTTTACATGCAACATGTGAAACATGTAATTTGCCCATATTGGACTGAGAGCTAGTTAAGGCAAAACAGTTCATCATAGTGTTTCTGTTTCTCAAGGGCTTAATAATACCTGAGACATAGTAATTACTCAATATTGACTCAGTCACTCTCAAAAATACATTATGATTATTTATACTACTTTATTTTAATATTTAAATTATATTATTTGAGGGAATCATCAATTATCTTTATTTCCTACATCTCCTTGTACAGGTGAATGAATTAATGAAATAATGCTATGATAAGAAAATCAATTAACAATTGATTGGTTTCATTGGAATTATTTACAGTTCATACTTGTGTTTCAAGAACTTTCTGGAAAAAAATAAGTTCTCATTTCCACCTTACTCCTAACATCTTTCTCTGATTTAGATAGATAAGAATAGCCAATATCTACAAAAATTTTTTGCTAAATTCTAGTTGTTTTTGGCTCAAGTAAGACTTAGAATATTAGCACAATTATTATTTTGTCATTCCTGAACTGATTAGCTCATAGAAATTTGGCTCAAAATGTGAAGGTTAAAAAAAAAAAGTGAAGGTAACAATTCACAGAGTAAGAGAAGATTTAGCAAATCATATATCCAATAAGGAAATTGTATTCAGAATATATAAATACTCTTACAACTCAATAACAAAACAATAAATAACCCAATTTTTAAATGGTCAGAGGAGGACTTCCCTGGTGGTCCAGTAACTAAGACTCCCACTCCCAATGCAGGGAGCCCGAGTTCGATCCCTGGTCAGGGAACTAGACTCCACATGCCGCAACTAAGAGTTTGCATGCCATAACTAAAACATCCCGCGTGCCGCAACAAAGATCCCGCACATGGCAACGAAGATCCCATGTGCTGCAACTAAGACCAGGCGCAGCCAAATAAATAAATATTTTTTTAAATAAATAAATAGTCAGAGGATCCAACATTTCTCCAAAGAATATATACAAATGCCCAGTAAGCACATGAAAAGATGCTCAACATCATTAACCACTAGGGAAATATAAATGAAAACCACAATGAGATACCACTTTACACTAACTAGGATAGCTATAATCAAAAAGACAATGAGCATTGGCAAGGATGTGAAGAAATTGCAAATCTCATATATTGCTCAAGGGAATGTAAAATGGGGCAGCCACTTTGGAAAACAATTTGTCAGTTTGTTAAATATTAAACATCAAGTTACCATATGACCCAACAATTCCACTCCTAGTTAATACTCAAGATAAATAAAAAGCAGGTTCACTCAAAAACTCCTACATGAATGTTCAGACCAGCATTATTTATAATAGCCAAAAAGTAGAAACAACTCAAATGGCCATCAGCTAATGAATGGGCAGATAAAATGTGGTCTATCCATGCAATGTAGCAGTATTCAACAATAAGAAAGAACGAATATTAATATATGTTACAACATGAATGAACCTTGAAAACATGCTAAGCAAAAGAAGCTAGTCACAAAAGACCACATATTGTATGATCCATATATGAGATGCCCAGAATAGGCAAATGGATAGAGACAGAAAGTAGATTAGAGATCACCTAGGGCTAGAGGAGAGGGAAAATAGGGAATGAGTGCCAATGGATATGAGGTTTCTTTTTGTGATATGGTTCCACAACTCTAGAAACATGCTAAAAATCATTACATTGTACACTCTGAGTGAATTGTATGGTATTTATATCTCTATAAAACTATTAAAAATATTTAAAGAGTAGTTGTAAAGGTAAAAACTATGACTATATCTCTAAAGCATAATTTTCTTACGGGACAACTTTCTAAAGTTTCTAAAGCATTAACTGGTGTTTTTTTTTGAGGGGGGGTAACTTATTATTGTTTTATTAAAATGTACCTTGGTCTATTTTAAAGACATTTAAATGTGTTAACTAATATTTTTTGTTAAGTTCATGTAATATTTCTTACAAAAATCTTTGTCAGAATGAAGCCTGTAATACTGATTAGTTTTCTTGCTTATAAAATAAGAGGATTCACTAGATGGACTTCAATATTCTGATTTCTGATAACTAAGCATAATTCTGTTTATAGGAGCCTTCTCTACTTAAAGAGATGCTGAACATCTATTTGATTCACTTAATGTTTTAAATATAAAGATCAGACTTTTACTTAGTGCTCCTTAATACGACCTCGTTTTATTATCTACAATAACCTTAAGGCAAATACTATTATTAGTCCAATTTTACCATTGAGGAAACTGAGGCTTACTGGGGTTAAGTTGCCCAACTGATATTAGTAAGTTAAGGAGCTAGAGTTAAATCCAGAGATTTGGAGCTTGCAGTCTTAACACTATGACTTACAGCCTTCCTACATAAAACATACTATTTGTTTACATACTAAATATGTAAATAAAATTATCCTAAAGTAGTTTGATTATAGTAAATAGCAGTACTTACTGTCTTATGCTTGGATGTTTCTACTTCACTGTGTAATTGCTTTTTTTCTGAATAACCAGATTTTTAGAGGTCATAGGGACTGGTTTCAAAGTAGAGAGCTGTTTATTAAGCGTCATTCAGGGAACTTAGTAGAAACTGGATTTATTTGCACATTGAACAGTTCCTTATCATGCATCAAAACAGGTCACTGAGAAGGTTGGAGTATTTCCATTGTACTTATCCTATGACTCCCACTCTCAGTTTAACTGAACTATTAAAAAACTTGAGGACAAGCTGTTTCCAGAAATGAACCTTTCAACTTCTCTAAATTCAAAAGCTGACTTCTCTGAGAACAAACAGTTTATGCTTGTTAAGTGAGTTGTCAGGGTGAGTTCTTCAGAGGTCTGTATTTTTTCTCCTTTGAATAGTCTTATTTTTTCAATGGCTTAACCTCCTGAGAACTGGTGTGCTCCATTTCTAGCTTGGAAAATTTTTGCTATTGTTGATTACTTAATCCTGTTTGAAGGTTCACCACCTCCTTTTGGCTTATTTTTAGCCAGAGACATGTTGAGATTTGATTTAGCTCGTGTGGGCCATAGGGTGTTAATATTTCCATGACTGAGTGTTAGCAGTGTGTTCACCAGGTACTGATACTTCCATTAGAGAAGGCAGTACTGTCAGAATACCAGAGACCAAGGGCTAAGGTCTGTAGTTCTTGGCAGATGGTTGCTGTTTTCTTGAACGCTAGTGCACAGGTGCAACTATTCAACTGCTAATAATAAGCAGAAATTACCCAAGCAATTAGAAGGCAGTTCAAGGGAGGTATTCATTTAAAAATAGTAACTCTAAATTGGCATCAGAGGATTACATCAGAAGCTTAAATAAAAATTTGACAAGGTACCAGAACTTGCCATCCTACATGATGTGAAATTATTGTTTTGCAGGAAAAAGAGCAATACTTAATAGGCAGTGCCTTAGCTTTCAAAATCAGTTTCCTTGGAAAAATGTTCCACAAAAATGTTTGCACCAAACCACTATATTCTTTATTGTAGAGATTAATTAATGTATGATAAAGCCATTCTTAACTAGCATT